TCCATGCTTTTGTTCCGGCCTCCCGGTCCAGTTTAAGAACCCATGTGGCCCTCGAGTCAAAAGTTTGGCCACCCTGGGCTAGACCAAGGAGGGTCTTGTAGGCTACATTAAAGCTGTCAGCCTTTAAGAAAAGAGAGAAGGACTGAACTGAGAGGAGTTGCATGATTAGTACCTTAAAGAGGCCAGTCTGGCCGCAGTGGGCGAGTGTGTGGAGGGGATGCAGCGTGATGTGGATTAGGAGGCTGTTGGGGTGCTCCAGGCGAGAGGTGGTGGCTCGGAGAGGGGAATGTCAGTGGGAATGCAGAAGTGGGAGGATTTGAAATATTTTGGAGATAAAATCAAGTTGCTTATAATTTGGTGTTTGGAAGGAGATTCTGCTTCAGCAGCTTCATGGGTTATAGGCCCACTCCCTGACACTGGGGTCACTGGAAGAGAGAAATTTGACTTCACTCTTGAACATACTGAGTTGAAGTGCCCTTGAAGGATCCAAATTGGAATGTTGTACCGACAATGAGTTATGTGGGTCTCGACTCAAAAGGAGCGGTTAAGAGAGAAGTGTTGGGATGGTTAACCTCAGGGGTTTGTGGATATGGGTGAGGTGGCTCACAGAAGTGGTTCTCAGCATAGACTGCACATGGGAATCTCTTGAGTGTTGAAGAAATAACCCCTCCCCCAGACTCGCTTTAATTAATTGGGCGTTAGGCTTCTAGAAGCCCCCCAGATAGTACTGATGTGCAGCCAAGACTGAGACCCACTCCTGGAGAGCATGAGCTGAGATTAGGAGAGGGGCTAGGACTGAGCCTGGAGGCACACAAGCAGAGACCAGTTAGGGGAGGATGAACCTGCCAGGAGACTGTTCTGCTGCCAGAGAGGTGGCAGGGAAACTCTGTGCTTTCAAGGAGGTAAGTGTGGCCTGTTGCTGCTGAGAATTTGGATTTAGCAATATGGATGTGGTTTAGTTACTGGAGGGGGAGGTATTAGTTGGAAGCTTGGAGCAAAAGCTGGGTTAGAGCAGATTGAAAAATGAGAGGGAGGAAATGGAGACAGCATAGGCAGCTGTTGGAGGTATTTGGGGAGAGGCAGTGAGAAGCAGAGAAGGTGTGCCATTGTATTAGGATGTTTTGGATAAAAATAACAAAACTCTGATTCAACTGGTTTAAATGGTGAAGAAAACTTACCTTAATCAGAGTTCCAGAAGAAGGAGTTTCAACAATGTCATCAAAGACCGAAGCTTTTCCCAGCCCACTGTGTGACCTAGACCTCCGGCTGCCATCGCAGGATGTCAGATGCTACTGTAATTCAGACATCACACCAGATAGTACAGTCTCCAGAAGAAGGATGACTTTGATGTAATCTTCAAAAAAAATACACATACTAAATGTGTACAGTTACTAAGTGTAGGTTGAATTTGCAGAAACCAAACAACCGTAACTAGTGCCCAGATCACCGCTCCTAGTCACTACCCACCTCCTCCCCCAGGATAACTGCTATTCTGACTCCCAGCACCATTGGTTATTTTTGCCTGTTTTTGTGCAATATAAACAATCATAGTACGTGTATAGTATGTGCTCTTTTATGTTTGGCTTTCAACATTGTTTTTGAGATCCATATTGTTGCATGTAAAGTTGTAAAGTGTTCATCTATTGCATGGATATACCACGTTTTATCCATTCTATTGTTGATGGGCATTTTGGTTTTATAGGTGGTGTCATTGTGAACATAAGTACTCATTTCTGTTGAGTGTATAATTAGGGGCAGGGTATCCTTATATTTAGCTTTAGTACAAAATTTCCAATGTGGTTGTGTGATATTACACTCCTACCAGCAGCATATGAGAGTTTCAATTCCATGTCTTCACTAATACTTTCTATTTTGTGTCATTCCATTTGGACATTCTGGTGGGTGTGTAATGATCTAGTGCTGTGATTTTAGTTTGCATTTCCTTAAGTTGATAATGATATTTAAGTTGAGTATCTTTCCATTTGCTTATTGACTACTTGGATTTTCTCTTTTGTGAAATGCCTGGATTTTGAGTTGAATGTCTTATTTATTAGTAGTTTATTTTTTTAAAATTTGGATATGAGTCATTATCAGATATTTAAATTACAAATATTTTCTCTCTGGCTTGCCTTTTTACTCTTGTTTACTTTTCACAAACAGAAGTTACTAATTTTAATATAGTAAGTTAGCCAATTGTTTCCTTTATGGTAAACATTTTTGTGTTTTGTTTCTAATCTCTGCCAGCGCACATGTCACCAGAATGTTCTGTTTCTAATAAAATCTCGACTGTTTAACTTTGGAATTTAGATTTATAGTCCATCTGCAGGTGGTTTCTGTATGTAGTGTGAGGTGGGGTTGATATGTGAATGTCCCATTGACACAACACCTTTTCTTAAGAGTACCTTTCCTCCATATCTTGTGATGTTACCTTTGTCATATAGATCAGGTGACTATGTAGGTAAGGGTCTGTTTCTGATTTCTATATCCCATTCTGTTGATCAGCTCATCTATCTTTAGATAGCATTTTCTTTTAAAAAAAAATGTGTATAGCCTTTTAGTGGGCATTGTTAGGTGGTAGTATGTTACCTAGTTTTTTCCTTGTAATCTCTTTTTAAGAGTGATGATTCCCCTCAGGTCTCATTGGTCAACACTGAGTCACATGACTACCCCTAAACCAATCAGTGGAAAGGAAAGCAGCTGTTGCCATGATTTGCTTTAACTAATTAGGACTTGCCTCTGAATCTTTTTTTTTTTTCAAGGTCACCAAAAATGTTGGTTGCCTCAAAGGAAAAAAAATTGGGAGAAAGAGATATATCTCTGAATCTTGTAGCAGTGAGTTAGATCCTCTCAACAGAAGTGTAGTCAGGTAGAGGAGGGGATAGCAGTTGGGTAGGCTACCAACAGTGTTTTCTTATGGCTTAAGGCATATTTATTTTTATGTATTTGTTTTTTAAAGATGAGAGATCTGACCATATTAAAAGTTGATGGGAGGTTGTATAACGAGGTGAATGTACTGAATACCACAGAACTGTACATTTGAAATGATGGTTCAAATGGTAAAATTATATGTTATGTAAATTCATCATAATATGGCATTGATTTTTGAGAGGGAATGGTTAATATACAGGTGAGAGAAGGGATCATTGAAATGATGAGAATAGAGAAGTTACATGGCACAGGTGGAGAAGTTGGCCAGAGAAGAAAGAGAACAGTAAATGAGAAAAGGCAGGGCTAGGTATGGATTTGTCCTTGGTAGTAGAAAATTGAGAGTTCTCTTGATGTCTCCATTTTACTCTTTGAACTGAGAGCAGAGATCATCTGCTGAGAGAGAAGGGAATTGGAAGTTTGAGGACAGGGTACAAGGTTTGAAATGATCATTTTACAGAGTTAGAGAACGATTTGATCTAGAAGGATGAAGTCCCCTTCGAGTTGCTTTAATCAAGAATAATAATGCTACCTTATGCTCTGCTGTGTAATCTTCTCCAGCAATACTTGGCTCCCTAGATCAGGCATGGAGAAAGCGGAAAGTGGGATTGACCCCGACTTGGGTTTTGCCATGGAGCCAGATGTAAACACAGGGACAGAGGAGTAGAAAGAATTAGTAAACATGTGAATATGAAATGATGAACCAGTGACTCTCAAGCTAGCTAAATAAGGAAGTAAAAAAAACAACAAAGTGGGTAAGTCAGTGAGTTGGGCACCCTGAGGAGATAGTAGGAATAGTTGAACAAGATGGAAGGAAACTAGGTTATAGGGGAGAGCAGGATGTCTCAATTAGTGATTTTTGAAGTTTGAACAGTTTTGAGTGGTGATAAGTTTTGGGGGAAGTGGGGCAGTGTGTGGGTGTCTGAGCTGGGGAGAGAGGGAGGTCATAGAAGATATGGCAGGAAACTGTTAGTACTTGGCAGTTTACAAAGTACTGTTTTAGCATAGTGTCTGACTTAGTCCCTCCTTCAAACAGGAAGAACAGGGTGATTATCCCCATCTTGGCTGAGAAAGCAGGCCAGAAGAGGTTGATCACTTTCTACAGCCCACAGGGATTGGGCTTCACTGTTTCAAGTCTCCATTTCATGCTCTGTCCTCTGTAGCTTAGTAGAGGTGTTGTGTGAAAGATCTGGGAGTTTATTTCTGGAGTCTTGCTAATATACAGAAATAGTGCAAAAAACTATACAACGAATAACAAGTTGGGCACAGATTGAGGTGTAAATAAGATATGTGCAGGAAATATCCCAGAAATGTGAAAAGTAGTTATTCCTGAGTAGTTGTGACTGTGACTCTAGATGACCTTTTCCCTTCGTTTTACTTTTCTGTATTTTCCAAATTTCCTATAATGGACATATATGGATCCTTAAAAACTAAAAAAATATTTTTTAACTAGGTTATATATGGAAAATTCAAAAAATTCAAATAGAAATGTAAGATGGTTTATATACCTATATTAAAATAAAAATGTGAATATTTTTCTTGTTTTTCTTTTTAGACATGCACTTGGTGATGGAAAGAGAGCCATTATTTTGAAGAACAACTGGACAAAGGTAGATTTCTTTTATATTTTACCTTGGGCAAATAATGCCATACAACTTGGAGAAAAATCTAATCACAGGATGTACATTTGTATGTAAAAATGTGGATAAAATAGGAATCTTCAGTTCCATAGTCAGAAAGGAAGCGGGTTGTTTTACAGAGTTCAAGAATGATTTGATGTAGAGTGAGGCCACAAGTGTCTGGGGTGGGGGGTGGGAGGGCGGGGCAGGTCGCCCGTAGGAATCTTGAAGACCTTGAGGGCGCTTAATTATTGAGCTATTAACATCTGCTCCCTCTGGATGTATTACAGACCTACTGAAAATGAAACGTAAAGCTTAGAAGGAACTATATAGGAGACGGTGTTTGTACATAAATTCTTAGAGAAAACATAAATTTGACTCTATCAAAGTTAAAAACTCCTGTATGTCAAAACACACCATGAATGAAATCATAGTCTGGAAGGAGATCATTTGTCATATATACAACTTATATAATTGATAGGATTTATATCTAGAATATGCAAAGAACTAAATAAAAAATTCAGTAGAAATGGGCCAGTAAACAAGCATTTCACAGAAGAAGAATTGTGAATGGGAAATAGAAAAACACTAAGCCCTGTTTTTCCCAGTAATTAAAATAGTACAGAGACAGAAAAACGAAACCAAGAGAGCAGAATAGAGAGCCTCCAAACAGACCTCCATGTACATGAATAAATAAAACCATATGATACTGTGGGTCCTTCAGGTTGGCAAACATTAACGAGACAATAGCCTTGAGTACTGGTGAGTGTCTGTACCAACAGGAACCCTCGATAAAACCAGTGGGTTGAATTGGTTACAAGCACATTGGAGAGCACTATGATGTGTGTACACAGTCATTACTTGATTCTAAGCTTCTGAACCCAACAAACATTCTTGCTTATTAGTGAGATGTACAGGTTGGTCATTGCACCATGATTTAATGGTACAGAAGTGCAAATATCTAAATATTCGTTAATGAAGCAGTGATGAATGTAGTTTTTCACTCAGTTACTATGATCTATCAGATCTGTCCCCTGTTGAACACCCATTATTTTAATCTCTGACCTCAGACCTTCTGCTCTCCCCTTTTTTCACTCCCTCGTTCACTCTTTGTTGGTCCGTTGCTCTCCTTGCAGTTCCTTAAACATGCCAGGCCCACTCCCCGCTTGCACTTGCTCTTCCCTGTGCCTGGAATGAGAATGCCTTTCCCCAGAGCACGCGCTGGCTCCCTGGCCCCCTGGCCCCTCGCTTCCTTTTCGTTTTCACTGCAGGTCCTCTTCTTAGTGAAACCTTCCCTGACCGCAGTGCTACACGCCAAACCTGCCCTTCCTAGACGTTGGCTCTCCTCTTTCACTGCTTGACTTTGTTTCTTCTTGGCATTTATCATTAGTAAACATATTGTATATACTATTTACAGTATGTTGTTTATGGTGAGTCTCCAGTACAATGTGAGCTCCATGAGGACAGGTTTTTTGTGTGGTTCATTCTTGAATCCGGACTGCCTGACACATACAGGCACTCATTAAGTAAATACTTGTTGACTTAGTGAATGAATGAATTGAACACTAGATTGCAGTTGAAATGAATTAACTGGCTTATGAATAGATTTTAAAAAACAATGTTGAATGAACAAAGGAGTAAAAGCATATTAGAAAAATACTTATCAAACTCATGATAGTGTTTGCTTCTGGGCAGTGAGAGACAGGAAAGATTAATGGTACAAAGGAGACTTCAGCCATATTTCTATAGTTTTATTTCTTGCATTAAAGAATCTGAAGCAAATATAACAAAATGTTAACAGTTAATTCTGCTGTTTGTTATAGTCATTTATATTTTCCTAAATTACAAAAATAGTCTGAATTTTTTTAAAGCAAAGCTTCGTTAAGACTCAAAAAGATAAATGTTTCAGACTTCATTTCTGGCTTTTCATAATTTGCTTTTATTATTTTTTTATTATTTTAATCCTCACTCAAGAATATGCTTTTATTGATTTTACTGATTTTAAAAATATGTTTTCATTGATTTTTAGAGAAAAAAGAATGGAAAGGGAGAGAGAAAGAGAGAGAGAGAAACATTGATCAGTTGGTTTCCATACATGCCCTGAGCAGGCATTGAACCTGCAACCTGGGTATGTGCCATGACCAGAAATTGAACCCTCCACCCTTTGGTGAATGGGATGACACTCAAACCAACTGAGCCACACCAGCCAGGGCCATAATTTATTTTTCAGCCAGAGTGAGTAGAGTCATAGAATTTTATGATTCAGGTGGTCTAGGAGTGTAAAATCTGGGGATTATAAGATTTCTCAGGTGGACTTCTGCATCCAACTTTTGGAGTCACTTTCTAAGTACATTATTTTACAGATGAAGAAATTAAGTCTCAGAAAAGTACAGTGACTTTGCAAGGTGCCATCACAAGTAAAAGGCAAAACTGGATTGAGGGTGATGTTTGTTGCTGTTTTCAATATAAGTCATTGTTGTGCTTAAAAATCCTTTGCTGACTTCTGCACCTGGCATTTGGCAGCTGCTCCATAAATATTTTCAGAATGAATGGATGGTAGAGTTCTTAATAGTAAAACCTAGACCATGATACTGGTTTTCCAGAGATATCTTTTGTTATTTTAATCTAGTATCAACTTAGAAAAAGAGTACTAAAACTTTAAAATTACTTTGAATACCTTATTTAGAATGTTCATTCCTGACTTAGTTTATCAAACAAAATATTCTTTTTAAGACTCTTCTTTTTAAGACTTTTTTTTTAAGAACAGTTTTAGGTTCACAGCAAAATTAAGAGAAGAAAGGTACAGAGATTTCCCATAATCCCATTACTCCCCACACACATGCCCTCCCCCATGGTCAGCATCCCCCAGTAGAGTGGTGCAGTTGTGAAATTAATGAACCTCCACAGACACATCATCATCACCCAAAGTCCAGTTTAACTTGGGGTTCACTGCCTAGGTGTTGTACATTTTATGGGTTTGGACAAATTTATAATGACACTGTGCTTCATAGGGTGTCTCTTCACGGCCTTAGAAATTCTCTGTGTGCATTACCTTTTGATGTTGCTATATAGGTACAAACCAATAGTTTCACAAATGTCCTCAAGAACCTTTAATTTTTAGGGGTTTATTTGGACTCTCCTGTTTGTGAGTGACAAAACCTAACTCAGATTTGGCTTAAGGAGAAAAGGGAATTTAATGGTTCATGAAATTGAAAATTCTAGGGGTTAGCTTCTGGCATGGTTGGATCCGATCTGTACACAATTTTCTTGTGTTTTTAGCTGTGCTTCCTTGTTTCTTTGCTTCATTTTCAGTCTTTTCTCCCTTTCATTTTACCAAGGTTCCATTGCTGTCCTCAAGGTCACTGATCTTCTCTTCTGCAATGTCTAATCTACCTTTATTTCCATCAGCATATTTTTCATCTTAAATGCTATAGCTTTCATGTCTAGAATTTCAATTTGAGTATTACTTACGTATTGTATGTCTTCAAGTGCTCAAACTTTTTTTAGCTTCCTGAATGTCTGGAATAAATTTAAAATACTGTTTTAATGTCCTTATCTACTAATTCTGTCATCTGTGTCATTTCTGGATTGGTTTCAATTGACTTACTTTTCTCTTCGTTATAGTTCACATTTTCCTCTTTTGCATACCTAGTAATTATTTTTTTATATACTGTATGTTTCTTTTTCTTTTTATTTCTTTTTAATTTTTATTATTTTTGTTAACCCTCATCCAAGGATATTTTTCCATTGATTTTTAGAGAGAGTGGGAGAGAGAAAGATAGAGAGAAACATCGATGTGAGAGAAACATAGCGATTGGTTGCCTCCTGCATGTGCCCCGACCAGGGCCAGAGCCAGGGAGGAGCCTGCAACGGAGGTATATGCCCTTGACTGGAATCGAACCCGGGACCCTTTGGCCCGCAAGCCTACACTCTATCCACTGAGTCAAACTGGCTAGGGCCCTAGTAATTTTTGATTGGATGCCAGACATTGTGCTTTTACGTAATATTTTTGTATTTCTGTAAATATTTTGAGCTTTGCTTTGAGATGCCGTAGTTACTTGGAAATAGTTTAATTCTTTGGAGTCTTGTTTTAAATTTGGTGAGGTTGGAGCGGAGTGGTATTTAGTTTAGGACTAATTTTTCTCCATAACTGAGGCAAAACTTCTGAGTGCTCAACTTGACACTCCATGAATTATAATGTTTTCCACTCTTGTTGACCGGAATAAGAAGTGTTCTTGATCCTGTGTGAGTGCTGACTGCTGTTCCCCTTTAGCTTTTCAGGTGGTCTTTCCCTCGCTTGGGTAGTTGCCCTGCATGCAGGTACTGATCAGTACAGAGCCAGACTCAAGGGGGACCCTGTGAAGACCTCTGGAGTTCTCTGTGCAGCTCTCCTCCCTGTCCTCTGCGCTGTGACCTTGAGCTGCCGGGACTTTCCTGGACTCCTGCTCTATCTTCTTTTTTTAAAAAATATATTTTATTGATTTTTTACAGAGAGGAAGGGAGAAGGATAGAGAGTTAGAAACATCGATGAGAGAGAAACATCGATAAGCTGCCTCTTGCACACTCCCTACTGGGGATGTGCCCGCAACCAAGGTACATGCCCTTGACCGGAATCGAACCTGGGACCCTTCAGTCCACAGGCCGACACTCTATCCACTGAGCCAAACCAGCAAGAGCCTGCTCTATCTTCTTAACTAAGACTCTGGTCTCTGCCTGGCTCCTTCTCCCTGTGCCATGGCTTAGACCAGCCGTGGGCAAACTACGGCCCGCGGGCCGGATCCGGCCCGTTTGAAATGAATAAAACTAAAAAAAAAAAGACCATACCCTTTTATGTAATGATGTTTACTTTGAATTTATATTAGTTCACACTCCATCCATGCTTTTGTTCCGGCCCTCCGGTCCAGTTTAAGAACCCATTGTGGCCCTCGAGTCAAAAAGTTTGCCCACCCCTGGCTTAGACACTCTCCCCTCAGCAGGCTGGGGCAAGCATAGGGCTTACTTTGTGTGTTTCTCACTGTCAGGGATCAGTCTCTGTTGTTGCTGGATGTCCAGTGTCGTGCAACCCTTTGTTTCATATACTGTATGTGGTTTGTTTTAGGCAGAAGGGTAAATCCAATCCCTGTTACTCCATCTTGACCAGAAATGGTAGAGTGTGGGTTCTCCTGGCTTCATCTTGAAAAAGAACCAAACTGATATCCTCAATAACTGTTAATTCTAGTGGAAAGAGAACATCTTTAGTATCTGTATAGTATACCTGAGGGATGCCTCACTCTTATCCTCACTGAGCCATCCTCCCACCTGTGGATCCATCACTGACCTGGGAAATGGTGCATTGCGATGGGCCCATTTCCTGGGTCACAACTACACTCCTACCCTACCCTCCTTGTTGAGATGGTAGAGTTAGCAGTACTGCCATTACTGTGCTGAGTGGATAAGGGACATGGTGGCACCCAAAAGGAGGGGGTGCTGGGCAGATGAACAAGGAGAATTTTTTATGTACGTGATAGAGAATGAGACAGTGTCAAAGAAAAACAAGACTTTCTGTTATAATTGGGTTCAAGAAACTCCCTGAAATACCTTTAATTTAAGTTTCATTCAAACACCTTCAGCAAAGAGACGCATAAATGCTTTCTTAACTGGTAGAGATTATACTGGTGATTGTGAAGCTTAAGGAAAAGGACTCAGTAAAGGATGAAAAAGGTGGACTGAAAAGAGTGTTTTTACTAATTTAAGTAGGTGTGGTCTATAAGTGATGATCATTTTCTGTGCTGTGATTTTTTAAAATATATTTTTATTGATTTCAGAGAGGAAGGGAGAGGGAAAGAGAGAGAGAGAGAGAAACATTAATGATGAGAGAGAATCATCAATCGGCTGCCTCCTGCCCACACCCCAACGGAAACTAAGCCTGCAACCCGGGCATGTGCCCTGACTGGGAATTGAACTATGACCTCCTGGTTCATGGGTCAGCACTCAACCACTGAGCCACTCCAGATGGGCTGTGATTTTTTAAAATATATTTTTATTGATTTCAGAGAGGAAGGGAGAGGGAGAGAGAGATAGAAACATCAATGATGAGAGAATCATTGATGATTGGCTGCCTCCTGCATGCCTCCTACTGGGGATCGAGCCCACAACCAGGGCATGTGCCCTTGATGGGAATTAAACCTGGGACCCTTCAGCCCGCAGGCCGACGCTCTATCCATTGAGCCAAACTGACCAGGGCTTTTTAAAAAAAATGCAGTTATGTATGCTTTAAAGTTGATATATGGCTGGGAGATAGGATGTTGGTATTGTAGCGTACCTCTAAGAGATCTCTTTTTAAAAATATATATATATATATTTTATTGATTTTTTTACAGAGAGAAAGGGAGAGGGATAGAGAGAAACATTGATCAGCTGCCTCCTGCACACCCCTACTGGGGATGTGCCCGCAACCAAGGTACATGCCCTTGACCAGAATCGAACCCGGGACCCTTCAGTCCTCAGGCCAACGCTCTATCCACTGAGCCAAACCGGTCAGGGCATCTAAGAGATCTCTTTTATCTACTTTATGCCTTTTGACAAAAAGCAGAGTTAGAACAAATGCGATCTGAGTTGACTCTTTGATCTGAGCTTAAATTCTCTGGCTAAAAAGCAGCTGCAGAACTCACCAGTTGGGTTGGTGCACCAGAGTGGGATTATACATGCACAGCACCTGGGTAAGCAGAGGTCCTTGTGGTTGTTTCTGGCTTTTCTTAGTAAAAAGCCCATCTTTCTTAAAAAGGTCACTTATTCCTTTTTAAATGAAATGATAGTTTTCTTTTTTTTTAATTAAAGAATAGTTTTTATTCCCCAATTAGTATTATTTGTATGTTCCTTTGTATTGGATTTATTAGGATGGCATTGGTTCATAAATTACATAGGTTTCAGGTGTACAGTTCTCTAATACATCAACTGTATAGTATATTGTGTGCTCACCACCCCATCAAGTTTCCTTCCATCACCATTTACCCCCTTTATCCTTTTTGCCTCCCCCACCTCTCTTTCCCTCTGGTAATCACCATACTGTTGCCTGTATCTCTGAAGTTTTTTTTTTTTTTAATCTCATAGAATCAGAATGGTCTTTGTAAAGTGTACAGTAAAGAGAAAAGAGCTCTGGCCCCAGAATAGATCAGGGTTCTTTGTTTTGCCTGTAAGGGAGTGACATTAGGCAAGTTCCTAGCCTTTTCACTTGGAAATCACTGCTCCCGTGGAGATGCTGTGCCTGAAATGGGAGTTTGGTTTGTGAGTAGCTGCTAGAGGAGAGTGCGTTGCGTTAGCCCAGGTTTGATCATGTTAGCTCTCTAGATTAAAATGTTCGTGCTGGACACAGATTTCCCAGAATGCTTAAGGGGGGCCAGCCAGGGCCGTTGTAGCACAAACAAAACAGAACAAAAAAAAACAATCATTAGAATTAAGAGTAAATCAGTGGTTTTTGGACCTTTTCTTTCTTAAAGCCAACAAGTACACTTAGAGGAGAAAAGAATGAAAAGCTGGTAAGAGAGTGATGGATAGAGGGCTGGCTTAGCTTTCCCCCTCATTGTGCCCATGCTCCTCTCCAGAGGTGGGAAAGCTGCTGCACCAGCTGACTGTCCTCCCAACTCTCAAATCCCATGGATTTCTAAACTGCAAGGAATGTAATCACTCGGAGACTACTGCGGCCTTGAAGTATTGTGAAGCAAATTTAAGTTACTTATATGAATGATTTTTATACTTTATTTGGCATAAAAATTATTTCACTCTTTAGTAAAATATAATAAAGGTTGATTTTTTTTCTTTGGGCATACAAAAAAATCTCTTTAAGTGAAAATACTGATCCCTAGACAGTTGTTAAACATTATTATGAATAACGTTCATCGCTTTTCACTTAGCTCATTTCGGTAATTTTATATCTTGAGAGGTATTAACATTTTTATTTATTTTTTAGGTTCTAATTTAACAGTTTAAGTAACTAATCAGGTTTCAAGTGAAATATTTTCCCTATTGATTTCCTTTAACATAAGCATATTTTTGAGAAAAATTAAATTTATCTTTTTGGAACAGGGTCATTATCGTTACTGTGCTGCTCTTTATATGCTGGGGGAATATGAGTGGGCCCTGCAAGCAAACAGTAAAGCTCAAAAACTCTGTAAAAATGACCCTGAGGGAATCAACGATCTAATTCAGCAACATGTAAAGTTACAACAACAAATAGAAGATCTGCAAGGTATTTCATCTAAGATTCTTTCTTTTGTTTTCAGTCGAATTTCCTTTAAAACTTTTGAAGGTGGGTTTCTTGGATTAATGGAGGACCATAAATCAATTCTCAGATGATTTGAACTTACTTTGTTATCTTGGTTGAGTCACTTAAGTTTCCATTTCTATCTGCATAGAATTATATTAGTGTTATATTCCATTGGATAATTATAAATGATTGATATTTTTATTTGAAACATTCGGCAATGAATTATTATATACTCTTGCATAGAAAATATGCCTTCTTGAATTTTGAAATAAATTCTGTTTGAAACAAAATTGTTTTAAAATTATCTCCTTTATTATTATAGTTATTTCCTGAAGAAAAGTCCCTTCAATAGGATTGTTTGGTGTTTTTGCACCAAGTTTGGGGCTGATTTTATATATCTCAGAAGTCTGCTGTGCAGGCTAGGAATTCTACAATCCTTACTCTGCACTCTCTGTGTAGGTCTTTCCCATTTTTCCTTCTATGGGTATTTGGTGTCTTATTGAGCTGAGCTGAGTGTTCTGTTTCACTAGCAAATGTCATCCAACATAACGTGATCATAAGATTGTGAGCTCCTTGAAGACAGGTGCCCTCTCCGATTCACATTTCTATAGTGCTGCATCTACTCAGTGATCACATCCATAGGATTTCAAATAACAGCCGTAGAACATTTTGTTGACAAGCTCATCAACTAAAAGCATCTCAAAATGTAAAATTGGTTAGGCTTACTTTTCAGTTCTCTGAATTTGAAAATCTTTTACAGTATGTGTTACCAATGCACTGATTATTGTGTGTGTGATTGATTTTGATAGGCGGAACATCAACTAGGAATCCAATTAAAGCCTTTTATGAAAGCGGGTAAGTTACTAGGAATGGCTTTGCCCTGTGAGTTTAAGAATCTCTGTGTTAGCCGAAACCGGTTTGGCTCAGTGGCTAGAGCGTCGGCCTGCGGACTGAAAGGTCCCAGGTTCGATTCCGGTCAAGGGCATGTACCTGGGTTGCGGGCACATTCCCAGTGGGAGATGTGCAGGAGGCAGCTGATCAATGTTTCTCTCTCATCGATGTTTCTAGCTCTCTATCTCTCTCCCTTCCTCTCTGTGAAAAAATCGATAAAATATATTTTTAAAAAAATCTCTGTGTTTGATGCTTTAGTAGCTAATAGCAACCACAGTGAAGTGGGGGTGGAAGGATGATAGGTGGTTTTTAAAGTGTTCCTGCGTAAGGTCAAGAAAAAAAGGCTGAATATGCTGAAACTTGTTTCTTTGAAGGTTAACTTTTTTTAAAAAGCATACTAATCAATAGAAATAAAATAATTATTCCTTTTATCCCCACTCAGAGCCTACACACCTAGTTTACCAGCACCTGCATTTAGTACTTCACTTAACTTTGTAGAGATCGAAAGAGATTCCAGCAAAACCTACCACGAAATGGCATACGATGGTAATCAGCATCTAATGGTAAGCTCAGTTAAAAACTAAAAATGAAATTATTTCCAGTATAGTCTCATATGTTTGCAATAATATTTTGGTGAAAGGGAAAACTAAATGTCTTGTTGATATGAACCTCTTTTTGCCTATTCATATCAAGAGAATGATTCTGTCTTTTAAATAAATATTTGGGCTACCTCCTATAATTAACATAAAATAATATTTCATTGTTACAGAATTTTTTTGCAATCACATTTGTACGTTTTCAAACTATTTTTTTCTAAATTTTATTTTACACTTCGATGGTTCTCTTTGTATGCCTTCCCTCTACATGTCTTTTTTTTTTTTTAAGAGAGAATCTTTTTTAATATATATATTTTTTTATTGATTTCGTAGAGGAAGGGAGAGGGAGAGAGAGAAACATCAATGATGAGAGAGAATCATTGATTGGCTGCCTCCTGCACACCCCCCACTGGGGATCAAGCCCGCAACCCGGGCATGTGCCCTTGACTGGAATCGAACTTGGGACCCTTCAGTTGGCAGGCCAATGCTCTACCCACTGAGCCAAACCAACTAGGGCCCCTTTACATGTCTTTCAATGAGTCACTTGGGAATAAGTGACAGTGGAGTCTGGTGGCCAAATCACCCCACCCCTTACAATGCTCTGGGTTTTTCTTTTCCTATCTTTTATTTTTTGCACACTCCATGGCTGCCCCGCAATGCACCAGTCCATCCACCCACCCAATTTGCGCCATGCTGGGCCTGGGAGCCACCCCATCCTCCTCTCTGCCCAAGGTGTTTCTGCAGCCTCTGCTGCTCCTCTCCGTAGCCAAAGCCGTTGATTCTGTGCTGTGCTCAGCTAAACCTTGGTCTGATGGCTTCTTAGGCACTGCTAGGCCTCTAGCCTGGTCCTGGGTCCAGGGTCTGAGGCGATCTGCACCTGAGTTTTTTTCTGAACTGTAGTGTGCTCAAAACTTAGCAGATATCACCAAGCCCACATTTATATTTCTCTCCAGTGTCTGATGGGGAAAATGAAAATAGTGTCTTGGGTTAGATGGATAGTAGTCATTGGAGGGAACTTTTTAAGCCACTCTATAGTTATATTTGTTTGTTAATAATATTCGAGGATATTATTTTCATTGATTTTAGAGAGAGTGAAAGAGAGGAAGGAAGGGAGGGGAAAGAGAGAGAGAAACATCAATGTGAGAAAGACACAGTTGATTGGTTGCCTCCTGCACAAGCCCCAATTGGGGCCAGAGATCAAACCTGCAACCCAAGTACATGCCCTGGACTGGGAATCAAACCCATGATCCTTCAGTTCTGAGGCAGATGCTAACCACTGAGGACACCAGACCAGAGCATAATTCTTTTGTTAATAATGAAAATCTCAGAGAAGCTGTGTTCATTTAGGGAGAGCAGCCTCAGGAAAGATGTGATAGTACTGTCTCAGGACTGAACAGCTGCCCTGCCTGGCCTCATGCTAGCTGTCAGAAATAGAATTGTCATTGGAGAATTTGTCATACCATAATCTGTTATTGTTAGTTATCATTTTGTTTGTTTATTCACTTAGGCTTAATAACCACCTAGCTATTTTAGGTGTTTGAATAAATTCTGTTATAATCCACTTTATTATTTAGCTCTTCATGTCTCTTTATTTTTTCACTTCTTTTCCTTGTGTAAGTCTCACTAATTGTATTTTCATGGGTAGGTGTTAGATGAAGCTTTGACTATAGATGATTGTGCCTGTCATCCTGAATTTCTACCACTATCAGGTGAGTTTTCCCTGTAAATTATTGCTGAGTTCATGTGGTGGTGTCTAAACTCCTATGCCCCCAAATTCGCACAAGCCTCACTTCTATTTGCTCTTGTTCTCCTTTTACTTTGCAGTGCTTCTGTGTTAAAACATTGATTATTTATTTGAAACCAGTACTCCGTCTTTTCATGTTATTTAAAAAATCTAATTTTGGAACTCCAACTAAAGTTAATGGAACAGAAAAATGAAGCTCTTCTTGGTTTCTATCTAATTTCTATTTGGCGAGTTGTCTTTTTTAAATTATATATTTTTATTGATTTCAGAGAGGAAGGGATAGAGAAAGAGAGATAAAAACATCAATGATGAGAGAGAACCGTTGATCAGCTGCCTCCCGCACGCCCCATGTAGGGGGATCGAGCCCGCAACCTGGGCATGTGCCCTGACCATGATCTCCTGGTTCATAGGTCGACGCTCAACCACTGAGCCAAGCCAGCAGGGCTCATCCTAGTTTACTTTAAATTGTCTGTGCTTGGTGCATGTGTTTGCTTATGCCCCTAGGAAACAGGCAGACACAGCAGGACCTCATCGACTCGGCATTGGCACCATGGGAAATGAAGGGCCCACAGAAGCACGAATATTTGAGCTTCATTTATTTCTCAGTCTCCCTTGATACTACCAGACTTTGATGGAAATCGATCTAAAGTGGATCACATGCTTCCCTGCCTTTTAAACAGCTTAAGAAAATACAGATTTTCTTGATGACTTACTTAAGATAGTTGTTGTTACCCACAGGTTTCTTATCTCCATCTTTCCTGCGTCCTTCCGGGTTCTTACAGGGAGATTGTGACCTTCCTGTTGCCCTCCTGTCCTTTGTTGGTGTTTTTGTTTTCTTTTCAGTGTTTGTGCTTCTGCAGTTCTGTCTTTTCTTAGGCTCCCATGCCACACATCCCACCACTTACTCCTGAGCATTTCCATTTGGTTAGCACAGCAGCAGCATTGTAAGGAGGGGAAGCTCAGGTGGCTGTCGTCCCTGATGTAGCTCTAATAGCACGTGAAAAACCTTTGAGGATAAAACATTTGTCAATATTTCTTGGGCAATTATCATCATACAGTACATTTAAATAATTTAAATACCAGCCACACTTTAGCATCTACGTTCAGTAGAAGAAATTGAGGTGCTGTGGTCAGGGTGCAGTGGTTTTGCTGCAGGTCACACAGCAGAAGTCGCACTGGAACTCTTCTGCCTTTCCAGAGCCTCTTGCTTTCTGAGGCCACCAGAGCCAGCTCAGGCTCTCACCCCGTCCTTGACCCAGGGGCTCTGGCTTGCCCCTGCGTCTCTCCCCAAAGCTCCCGTCAGGTCCACCTGACCCCACTGCTCAGCTGTCTTCTGCACAGCTTTGCACGTCTGTCCCCGCCCAGCAGCCCACAGGCTCCCTCCTGCCAGGGGACAAGGCTGAGCTCATAGAGCTGGAGGAGCAAGAGGAAGCACGGGGCCTGTAACTCAGTATTTTTTCTTCTTTTTAATGGGATTGCTGTTTAATTATTACAGTGACGGTCTTTTCTTGTCATCTAATTGTAAACTACTTGAAAACAGAAATTTAGCCTATATCTCTGTATCTACTCTAGGCCTATATAATAATGACCATTATAATTTATAATAATTTCATAGCACACATAGACAAACATCATCAGTAGCTTCTTTTTTGGCTTACCTGTTTGTAGTTAACGCTCACAGTATCGCTTCCTTTGCTTTCTTATTCAATTTACTTAACTATTATTTTACTTTCAAGCTCATAAATTTTTATGTCCAGATTTGAGGAACAAATACTTTTGTATTCACAGGCCAACCTCCAAAATATAAAGGAAAACAAAAATCTCGAAACAATGAGTTGGAGTTCAGGTATGTTTTTATCTAAGGTTTTGTTTTTTCACCTAATGTCCTCCTTCCAAGAAAAAAGAAAAAAATCTCTTTCAAGTAGTAACTACCTTTACATATGTATATTATGTTGAGTACTAAAGTCCCTTTCAAATACCAAAGGCATGTCTTCAGAGAGATCATTTTTGAGCAGAGAATTCTGAATCCTGAATGTTAATACTGATTTCTGAAAGTCATATTACAGCTATATTAGTATTAACGTTTTAAAACTCCAAAATACATGCTCAGAAGAGGGAAAATATTCAGAGAAGTATAAAATGCAAATTAGTCTCCTTCCCTGCTCACCTTATTTCACTTCCCACACTTCTTCTCCAGTAGCTTCCGATAGGGACGCGCTGCTCACAATGTTGGCCGTCGGGAAGCTCACTCTGCATACACAGGAGGGGTGTGTGTACAGGCCGAGGCCCTTTTCAGCAGTTACCACCAGAGGAAAGGATTTATCAATGAACCAACCACTTATAAAATCCGTTCTACCGAACATGCCCCTTAAAACTAATGGTCGGAACTCTTTCACTTATCTTTATAGTTAATCCCCCATCACCTACAAAATAGGAATTGACTGCAGAGTGGAATTATCAGTCATACAGTAGATACAGAAGTTTGTGAAGTTAATAAAAAGTGATGCTGGAGAAACTGCAAAGCCATTTCTGCCAATTATACCAGTTGTCAGTTTTTTCCTCATTTCTTAAGGCTGATTCCTCAATAGATTCTTCAAGGAGAATGATTTGAATATCAAAGCACTAAGAGGAATGAGTAATGCCCAATTTTTTTTTAAAAAAAAGACCATTTTTTTCCTGCTGCTACAAAGTAAATACAAAGCAAGAGCATAGAATATTATGTAATTCTATTATTTCATAGAAAAATCCTGAGTCTTCCTCCTCACCTTGTGTGCCCCCCAAGAGAAACCAAAACCAAGTATATTTTCATTGTTTGAATGTATAGTTACAATTTTAACCGGTTTTGTTGAAGATAAATTTAGTTTCCTGATACTTTGTTTCTGTTTTCAAACGGAAGGCTTCTTATTTGATTATGTCTACCTCATGGGATTATTTAGTGATTAAGTGGGATGAACTGGAACATGGTAAATGCTCAGTACACATGACCATCATTGGGATCACTGTCCTTTTCACTGTTGTTAGAACCATTCTGGCTGACAGCTTGTTTTATCCCTTTCTAAGTATCTTGTGTGTCTTTTCATAACAGACCATGGAAATCTACATCCTTCATTTTCATGGCTGCAGGACATTTTACCGCATAGATGTATATTCGGAGAAATTTCTAGAATGGCATTGCTCTATCAAAGGAGATGCATAATTTTCTTTAAATGTTATTTACTGATTTTTAGAGAGAGAGATAAACATTGATATGTTGTTCCACTTATTTATGCATTCATTGGTTGATTGTTGTATGTGCCCTGACCAGGGTTCAAACCCACAACCTAACCAACTGAGCTACCCGGCCAGTGCCTGGGGGTGCATAATTTCACTTTGATAGATATTGTCAAATTGTCCTACCAGAAAATTAATTACCTGGCACTTTTACACTCTTAATAAGCTTTGAGAGGGTGCGGTATAATAAAATGTATATCAGATCTTTGTCCCTGGTCCCTGGCACAGAGCTCCCTTGGAGTTTCCTGAAACAAGCCCCTTTCCACCCTACCTGAGTTCAATTAATGAGGTGACTCAAGGCTGGGGCTCTGCATTCAGAATTGGGGCTGGTCACTACAAAGACCAAGTATGTGATTGGAGGGTTGGACCTTTCAGCCCCATCCCCTGGTATCTGAGAAATTCAGGAAGGGGGCTAGGAATTAATTTATTCACCAGTGGCCAGCAACTTAATCCTTTGTGCCTGTGTAATGAAACATTATGAAAATCTCTTTTCGGGGAGCTTTTGGGTGGGTGAGTACATGGAGGTGCTGGGCAGGTGGCCCACTCTGGGACAGCATGAAAGCTATCCATCACCCCCCTCTTACCAGCTCCTTTCCCATGTGTTTCTTTCATTGGACTTTTCCTGAGTTACAACCTTCATAGTAAACTGGTAAGTAGTACGTATAATGCTTTCATGAGTTCTATGAGTCATTCTAGGGAATTGTTGAATCTGAACTGGGGGTCACGGGAACCCTGAATTTATAGTTGGCTCAGCAGAATTGTGGGTAGCCTAGGCACCCCGGTGTGGCTGGTCTGAAGTGAGGGCACCTGTGGGGCCTGCATTGACTCCAGAATTAATGTCAAAATTGAATGTAATTGTTAGACACGCGGTTGGTGTTGGAGAATTGGTGTGGAAAATGATAGGTATCTGGTATCAAACACACACATCTAGTGTTAGAAGTGGTGTCGGAAGACAGAGAGCTGAGTCTTTCTTCCCCTCACCAGCACGGGGTCTAGGCTTTCTGAAAGGTTATATCTCTTACTAGATTTTCCCATGAGAGGAGCATCTGTGCAACATTTCTTGGGCACATTTCTTGTTTCAGGACTATGTTGTCATAGATAACTGTAGATTTGTAATAACTGGGTAATCAGCACACAAATTCCCCTTAATTTGTTTCAAAAGCTGTTTTTTCTATATCATCTTCATAATTAATTTGGCCTCCCTCCACTTGTAATTTTACAGGGATTTTTATTGAGATTCATTAGATTTAGAGGTTAATCTGAGGAGAAATGGCATCATAGTAATATTTCAGTTCAGGAGCTTGTGACTTATTTGCTCAGTGTTTAAAATGACCTTCAGTAAAAGTATTTTTTCTTTATATAGCGGACTGTTTTATTTTAAATAATTCAACACAACACTCTTTTCTTTTAGTTATGGTTCACAAGGGAGTTTTCCAGCAGATTTGAAAAGCCTCTTGGAGAAACAGTTCTCTAAATCTTCCAGAGCTGCACACCAGGTACAGGAAAAGGCTTTTCCCGGGGAAAAAGCAAACTCTGGGAACAAACCACTTTTCACAAGCGCTAAGTCTAACCATGTACATCTCTAAGATTTGTTTTTTATACTTTTATTTATGGACATGTTACTTAATATGTGATTGCTAAGAAGCCAAACTATTGTTAATTTAGAAACTAACTTTTCAGTTATGTTAGCCAGAGATTGAAGTAGCGATTGACACTGTACAATTGTTGCTTCCCAAAGGAAACAGTTTGTTTCTTGTTCTGTTTTGCAGGACTTTGCTAATATAATGAAAATGTTGAGGAGCTTGATCCAGGACGGTTACACAGCTCTGCTGGAGCAGCGGTGCCGCAGCGCAGCCCAGTCCTTCTCGGAGCTGCTCAACGGCCTAGATCCGCAGAAAGTAAAGGTAGGATTGCCGGCTCCTAACTCGTCAGCAGTGCTGATGGCTCCAGATGCAGGTGTAGGAGAATCCGGGCTCTCACTTCACTGTTACCAGTGCACCTTCTGCCTAGCGAGACGGCCTGATTCTCCTCCGGCCAGGCCGTGAGGAGCAGGGCACGCACTGACCCAGCCTTCATGCCTGCGCTCACCGTGCGACTCCCTCCTTGCTCTCCAGTTGGTGTCCTTAGAACTCCTGGCCTTCTCTCTTGATAAACTACGAAAGCAAGGTTTTGGACCAGTTTTAGTCACATCTTTTCATTCAGAAAGAAAGTAATAGCTAGACAAATACTTTATGCAAGGTTGTAAGGCAGCAAATAAATGTCTTCATCTGTCACTGGTCCCCACGAACATTCAAAAGAGAGTAACTTCTGTTATTCTAATCTATTATGAACCACGCCCTCAAGGGACTCTGAGACAGTGAGTCTGTGTTTTAAATACTTGATAGCAGTGTATTTTTGCAAAATATATTTTCTAATTCAGTTTGGCCTTTATCTCAATCATAGTGATTAGCGAGATTTTATTACACTTTTTTTCTGTTGTGGCTAGCAGGTTGGTATGATGCAAATTGGGCAGAATTATCTTCAGATTTTTAACTCAAATGTTTTTATTGACAGCAATTGAACCTGGCCATGATTAACTATGTGTTAGTGGTCTACGGACTTGCTATTTCTCTCCTTGGAATAGGACAGCCTGAGGTAAGATTTGTAACAGAAATAATAAACAACTTAAATATGTCATTGATTTTAGAAGATATGTAAACACAGTTGTTTTCCTATCGCAATTCTTTTATTCTTGGCAGAGCAGTAATAAGTATGTTATGTTTGCTTTTTTGGATTGAAGAGATAGTTTATTACATTTGCGATTTACTTTGAAGTAGTGAGACTGATCACAGAAATAAAATCATGTGATAGAACTTGAACCTTTAAAAGAATTTCATCATTCAGAGTAGCCCCAGCCAGAAGGAAGCGATATACTTACTCCAGTACAGCCCTTGCTTAACATGTTAAGCGCCAGGCCTGTTTTGTCTTCCTTTCCGTTTAGCCCGTGATACCCAATTTCACTGATACGCTGGCAGTCGGAGACTGATGAGGTCCGATTGGAAATGTAGTGTCAGTCACTGGTGACTGACATGGCGCTTAACGTGTTAAGACATGTTTGCAATGCCTCCTTTGGAACGAGCCTCAAAGCTTCTAACGAACTCCATTTTGTGGTGACATTTCTTTTTCACCCACAATGGGGGTAGTAGTGTTGCCTGGAGCTAAGTGTTTTTGGATTTTTTTCAAAACAAAATTCATGTAAAGCAGAGGTTTCCACAGTTGAGAATATTCAAAAGAACACACTTCTGTCTGTGAAGCTGTTACTAAAGGGCTGGTTTTAAGGTTGAGCATTTGTCTGCCTGATGCCACAAAGCACGTAGCAACATCATTGGCATGCCTGTGCCCCCAAGGGGACAGCACTCAGCCAGGATATGTGCACGGTGTCATTGTCTACATCAGTCTTTGTACCGTGAAGTCACATGTGTGGTGTCTGCCAGCACCATGGGCCTCTGTGTGGGTGTAAACGCTCATCTGGTTGGTGATTTGATGTGTTCAGTGCCAGCTTTTCATTCTGGAGCTGAATCACTTTGGGTGTGAGTATTGTACATATGGTCACAATTTATAAATTGCTAAGAAAATGAAATCTGGAAGGTGTAATTTTGCCAAAGAAGTTTTGGACAGATAGTTGTTTTTAATGTTACAAAAAGAATCAGCCTTCAGATAAAAATCACTTCCAGCATTTCTTTTTTGTGTGATTATTGTTCTTACTGCCTTTGAAGGAATTATCTGAAGCTGAAAACCAGTTTAAGAGGATGATTGAACACTACCCCAATGAGGGCCTCGATTGCTTGGCCTACTGTGGAATTGGAAAAGTATACTTAAAAAAAAACAGGTTAGTAGATGTCCTAATAAAGTAAAAATTTAAAAAAAAAGAATTTCTATATTTATGGTACTATATCTATGCAATGATTTATCAAATGTATTCTTTTTTATATATATTTTTATTGATTTCAGAAAGGAAGGGAGAGGGAGAGAGAGAGAAACATCAGTGATAAGAGAGAATCATAGATTGGCTGCCTCCTGCACGCCCCCCACTGGGCATTAATTCTTATGTGCCCTGACCCGAAATCGAACTATGACCTCTTGGTTCATAGGTCGACACTCAACCACTGAGTCACACTGGCTGGGCTCAAATGTACTCTTACTAGTTAGCTTGAAATCTCTGACTTTTGTTGTGGGAATGAAAATTCTTGTGACATCTTTTCATACCTTTTTTCTTCATTATTATGACTAGGTTTCTAGAAGCTCTTAATCACTTTGAGAAAGCAAGAACCCTGATTTGTCGACTCCCTGGAGTGCTAACTTGGCCCACAAGTAATGTGGTTATCGAAGAGACTCGGCCAGGGAAAATAAAGGTAACCATTTCTTTCTGCAGAGAGCTCTGACTAACTGTAAAAGCCCGCCTACACTGACTGGCTCAGGTGTGAGAAAAGGAGATAGCATTCTGGCCTCAGCTCCCCCACAGGTGTTTCCCCTTTAAGGACTAGTGAGAATTACTAACATTTACTAAATGTTTTCTATTGCCAGTCACACACCTGCCACATTTCATTACCTTCAATCCTTACAACAGTCCTACAGATGAGTACTATGATTTATCCCCATTTTATGGAGGGAGAAGATTAAGTTTAGAGAGGTTAGGTAATGAGCTCAAGGTTAAACAGCCAGGAAATGGTGGAGCTGGGCTTGAATCCAGGTGTTCTGACTTCAGTGTGCATTCTTAAGCAGAAAGGTATGCTGTCCTTCATAAAGGTGTAGCATTGCTGTTTCATCATAGTTACTGTCGTTATTGAGGGGTACTCGAAGACTCAAAGTATAAATTTAATCTCAAATCCAGAAGCAGAGGATGCTTTGCTAGTTTTTGAGAGACTAAATTATGTGTAAATTGACTAGGATAGGCCTTTAGTTGTGGGGAACCTGGGCGTGTACTAAGAACTGGCTTTTGACCAAACCTTTTAAAAGCATAGGGGTCAACTCTCACAACTCAATGATAAAAAGACAACTAAACTAATTTAAAAAGTACCCCAAGGATGTGAATAGACATATCTGTCAAGAAGTTATACAAATAGCCAGTGAGCACGTGAATGGTGTTCAACAACATTACCTACCAGAGAAATGCACATTAAAACCATAGTGAGATACGACACCCATTGGGATGGTTATCTTCAGAAGGCAGCCAAGAATAAGTGTTGATAAGGATATGGAGAAGTCAGAACCTCCTGCGTTGTTGTGGGTGTTTAGAACGGTGCCATTGCTTTGAGAAAATAGTCTGGCACTTCCTCAATGGGTTAAAGAATGAGTTATTCTGTGACCCAGCAATTCCATTCCTGGATATATACAGAGATAACACATGTTCTCACAAAAACTTGTACATGAATGTTCATAGCAACATTATTCACAGGAGGCAAAAAGTGTCCATCAACTGATGAATGGTTATATAAAATATAGTCTATTTATACAATTGAATATTATTCAGCTCATAGAATGAAGTACTCACATGCTACAACATGAACGAATCTTGAAAACATTATGCTAAGTGAAAGAAGCCAAACACAAAGGATACAGATTGTAGGATTCCATTTATATGAAACTAGAGGCCCAGTGCACAACATTCGTGCACTGGGGGGGTCCCTCAGCCCGGCCTGCACCCTCTCGCAGTCCGGGACCCCTCAGGGTATTTCTGACTGCTGGCTTAGGTCTGCTCTGGGGGAGCAGGGGTCCTTAGCGCCGCCGCAGAAGCGGGAGAGGCTCCCACCACCGCTGCTGCCCTCGCCAGCCGTGAGCCCAGCTTCTGGCTGAGCAGCGCTCCCCCTGTGGGAGCGCACTGACCACCAGGGGGCAGCTCCTGCATTGAGTGTCTGCCCCCTGGTGGTCAGTGCACGTCATAGTGACCGGTCGTTCTACCATTTGGTCAATTTGCATATTAGGGTTTTATTATATAGGATCTCCAGAACAGGCAAATCTACATGGAGACAGGAAGTAGATTAGTGGTTGGGAGGAGCTAGGGATTGGGGGAAATGGGGAGGGGTTGCTAATGGTTATGGGGTTTCTTGTTGGGTGATGAAAATGTTGTAAATTTATTTTTTTTATTTTTTTTTTTTTAAATATATTTTATTGATTTTTTACAGAGAGGAAGGGAGAGAGATAGAGAGTTAGAAACATCGATGAGAGAGAAACATCGACCAGCTGCCTCCTGCACATCTCCTACTGGGGATGTGCCCGCAACCCAGGTACATGCCCTTGACCGGAATCGAACCCGGGACCTTTCAGTCCACAGGCCGACGCTCTATCCACTGAGCCAAACCGGTTTCGGCAAAAAATGTTGTAAATTTAGACTGTGGTGATAGTCATACAACTGTGTGAATGTAATAAAAACTCACTTTAAATATGTGAATTGTATGGTATGTGAATGATATCTTACCCGAAGCTGCTATTAAAAAAATTGTAAAACAAAGGATCATTGGGTTTTCCTCTTTAAACTAGATTGGGATGGAGGCATGGGAACTATTGATAACAAAGGTTCAGGAGCAGTGGGGTCATTCTCAGGGCAAGAACTAGCGCAGGTGGCAGGGGCTCCGGGAGGAGGTGAGTGAGGTGCTAGGATCCCAGGTGAAGCACCCTTAGGATCAGGAGAATAGTGGAGTCCTAAGGGAGTTTCACCTTAGGACTCCTGGATGCTTAAAGGAGATTTCTGTGAGTTATATATTATACAATGAGGTTTGATGGTTATAACAGGATAAGATTTTGATTCTGACTTTGAAACTCTGAAAAAACTTTTTAGTTCTTGCCCCTCTCCCCCACCATTCCATCATTTTCTCTGGACACGTCTCTGTATCAGCCTCCATTAAAAAGTGGTATGTAGTTTGTTCTTGGCTAAACATTTAGTCATTTCTAGGATGAAAATATTTTGACAGCAAGAAGTTATTGAAATCATAAGCATTTTGATTGACAAACGAGTGTTGTAACAGTATCTTTTTTGTTTTAGATGCTCTTAGAGAAATTTATTGAAGAATGCAGGTTCCCTCCAGTGCCAGATGCTGTTTGTTGCTATCAGAAGTGCCATGGATATTCCAAAATCCAGATATACATCACAGATCCAGACTTTAAGGTAAGTAATGACTGTGCATTAGGACAGTAACTTGCACAGTTGTGCCTTACAGTGAATTTAGAACCAATCCTTTAATCGGAGGCACCCAAGTTCTCTGGGGTGCCAGCAGTGTTATATCCTGTTGCCCACCCCTCCCTCTGGACTTCTTTAGGTCTTCATCATCTCACATGGGAATCCAGAGCCACTGAAATTAACACTGAGGGCCAGCTGGCTAATTCCATTTCCCCTTTCTAGCCACTGTGCTATCAACTGCCTATTCCTAGGAACACAGGAAACAAAACAAGATTATTACCTCTGATTTGTTGCAATTCTGTCTCTTGTAAAATTGGACTCCAAGAACTAAAGGCCATTGTTGATCGCTGAATTGGCTCTCAGAAACCTAAATTTGAGATCAAGTCTGGCACATAATTGAGTGAATAAGTTACTGGGCCTTAGTTGATTCAAGAAGATAATAAGCTGCCCATTGTGGCACTGTCCTGGTTAGAGCTGAGATGGAATATTGTCTATAAAATATTTTATACATTGTAAAGAATAATGCAACTGTAAGCTATGAAAGTGAATATGTCAGTCAAGCTCTGTGCCTCTGGCACTAGGCATTCTAGGTACAGAGTAGTATGCTCCCCCATGAGGAAATGTGGTATCTAGTTGTGTCTACCAGATGAATGCAAACAGCTCTCTCTTTATCTTAATACTAGAGGCCCGGTGCAAAAAATTCATGCATGGGGAGGGGTGTCCCTCAGCCCGGCCTGCACCCTCTCCAGTTGGGACCCCTCAGGGGATGTCCGACTGCTGGTTTAGGCCCGATCCCACAGGGACCGCTGGCTCTTAACCGCTTGCCTGCCTGCCTACCTGCCTGCCTGATCGCCCCTTACCGCTCCCCTACCGGCCTGATGGCCCCCAGGTGCCTTCCTCTGCCAGCCTGATCGCCCACAACTGCCCTCCCCTGCCAGCCTGATTGTCCCCAACTGCCCTCCCCTGCTGGCCTAATTGCCCACAACTGCCCTCCCCTGCCGGCCTGATCGCCCCCAACTGCCCTCCCCTGCTGGCCTAATCGCCCACAACTGCCTTCCCCTGCCGTGACCTGCCTCCTCCGCTGGGACCAGCCTCCATGCCTCGCAGAGCCATGGGACCCCCAGGCCTCACTGCGCAAAGCATCCGCTGGGCCCCGCCTCCACTGTGCGTGCGGCCATCTTGTGATGACGTGCGGGCGTGATACCACCTAGGCTATTATTAGTATAGATGCATTGTGAGTGAGTTAGTGAGTTAGAGAGAAAGAGAGAGAGAGAGAGAGGGTGTGTGTGTGTGTGTGTGTGTGTGTGTGTGATAGAGACAGCACCTTTAAAATGTGAATTAAACATTGTTTTAACCCCCCAGGGTTTTATACGAATCAGCTGTTGCCAGTACTGCAAAATAGAATTTCACATGAACTGTTGGAAGAAGTTAAAAACAACAACCTTTAATGATAAAATTGACAAGGTAAGGCTAATAAGATTCTCTGGGTATTTTGTTTTTTTAATATGTTTTTAATGATTTCAAAGAGGGGGAGAGAGAGAGAAACATCAGTGATGAGAGAGAATCATTGATTGGCTGCCTCCTTCACACTCCACACTGGTGATGGAGCCCACCATCCAGGCATGTGCCCTGACTGGGAATCAAACCATAACTTCCTGGTTCATACGTCGACACTCAACCACTGATCCACGCCGGCTGGGTACTGTGGCTGTGTTTTTGTGTCTGAATTGAGGTTTCCTGGTACATATTCTTGTGACAGAGGATAAAGATCAAGGGCCAGTCCATTCAGCGTTTCTTAAGCTTTTGTTGGGACATGCTTGGTGTATGTCCTGTCAGCTCTCCTTGCACTGACCAAAGCAAGTCATTCCTTTTGCAGGGAGGCTCGCAGGTCCCATGGCAACAAGCAGGGACTTCAGTGCCGCCTGAAGGAGGTTTCTGATGACATTTAACCATTCCTGATGGTATAGTAGTATACATGTTTAGATTTATTTTGATACGCAGCACTCTTTTTTTTTTTAATCAAATAGGATTTTCTACAAGGAATTTGTCTTACCCCTGACTGTGAAGGTATCATCTCTAAGATTATCATCTTCAGCAGTGGTGGTCAAGTTAAATGTGAAGTAAGTATCTAATGAAGGGGAAATCTTATTAAATTGACAATGAGAGTGCTTGTACCTTTTAAAGCATGATTTAAATTTATGAAAGTGGTATGATTTGGATTTTGTCTTTTCTAGGAAACAGTTTCTTAATTTCAGACAATATACAAACAATTAGGATGTGAGAATGCTTCTTTGCAATAAAGGATTCTCACATTCTTTTATTTCATAGCAGGAAAAGGAGGCTTTTACAGTTTAGTTTTACTGTTGTCACTCTTTTCATAACCTTGTTTTCTTTATTCCCGGTAAACTTCTGGGTGTTTGGGGGTGAGGGTACTTAGGGAGGGGAGGAGTGTCTTAAGGGATTGATTACCTTTACCTGGTCTATATGGAGGTGGCAGGAGTGGGTTGTTATAATGATACTAGTGGCCCAGTGCATGAATTCATGCACCTTGAAAGCAGCTGTGGGCTGCAAGGCTGCAGAGGGCGCAGAGGCGGGTCTTGACCCATCCTCCACACCCTCACCCAGCCCCTCCTTCCACGGCTGTCTGCCGGCAGCCCCACTCCCACTGCCGCCGCTCCCACGCACTGATGGCGCCGGCCCTGCTCACACCCACTGACAGTGCGGAGCGATTGGGGTTGGTGCCAGCCGTGGGTGAGAGTGGGACCAAGCTGTCAGCAGGTGTGAGCGGTGGCTGCTGCCTCGATCGCCCCTCAGGAGTAGGGGGAGGTGGAGAAGCCCTTAGGGGCAATCAGGGCCGGCAGCCACTGCTCACACCCGCTGATGGCACCAAGTTTTCGGGGTCAGCGCTGGGTGCCAGCAGCAAGTGCGAGCAGCAGCTCCGGAACTGGTAGCGGGTGTAAGCGGGGGCCAGCGCCGGCAGCAGGTACCAGCACCCGGCGGGATCGTGGCACATGGTAGCAAAGAATTTTCAGTAACCACTAGAGGCTCGCCCCAATGACAGCGCCTTGGTCTTGTGCCCCTGCTCACCTGCTCCACCATCCCGCCACAGTCGATGCCTGCCATGTTCCGCACATGCCCCCTAGTGGTCAGTGCACGTCATAGCAACCAGTTGTTCGGTTGTTCCGCTGTTCAGTCTATTTGCATATTAGGGTTTTGTATATATAGATTTGTAGTTTATTTGATCTCCGCTTACTTTTAATTTGAAAAACATTTCTTGCTAAAGTGTGTGTACTCTCTTGTTTCTCTTTTCAATACATTATTTTACTAAAGTTTTCTGGGCTTTTGTCTGGGTCAGAGCATCATCACTGTTCTCTGCCAAACTGACCATTGACTGTGTGTGCTTCTGAAATGCTTGTTTCTTGTGGTTTTGTGCTTTATGTCCTGGGAGTATAAGACAAATTTCTGGTATCTTTGTTTTATTTAAAGTTTGAACACAAAGTCGTAAAAGAAAAGAAGGTTCCTTCAAAACCTATTCTGAAACAGAAATGTTCTAGGTAAGATTTTTAACAATCCATCACTAGCTTCATGATGTCTTTTACAATATAATTTCTAAATTATGCTGTTTTCGAATTGGCTGTGCACACATGTCCAATTAAGTGGTTTTAAAATGCCTTTTATGGATATTTAAAATTTAAAGAGAACTAGCCTGGAATGGTTAAATACTGAAACTTGAATCATAGATGTATTTAGTGGTTGAATTTACAAGTAAAATTATGACATTTGATGTTGTGAAATGACATTTCATTAATAGATTTGGCAGTTAGATAAAAATTGTATACTTAGCTCGCAGGTGTTTAAACTTTAATTCCAAAAGCATAGTTTCTTGTTATCTCTCTTCAGCAAACATTTTGAACCATTGACTTATTTCTCACACTGAAATACTCAATGTACTGTCAAAATTATTTCCTTCCTTGTGTTTTCTTGTTCAGATCAAATAATTTCAATGTTTTTTGCTTTTCTTTTTGGTCCTGCCTCTTGTTTTCCATTCTAATAAATGATTTTTTTCATCATTGGTGACCAAGAAGAAGCAAAAGAAAAGAGGAACAGACCTATTTGTTGAAGAGAATTCATTGTAACCATATTAACCAAATTCCGTAGTTGTGGGCCATTATTGGGATGTGAAAATAATAGTTTACTGTGGGATCTTTTTTTTAAAATAAGTGTGTACATGTATTATCTTGCAGAGTAATTTTTATTATTCCTATTCACCTGAAGCAGTAACTTATGAACATGGAAATAATATCTATACCATCTGTATGTGCCATCTTTAGTTAAGTCACTCAGTCCCCTGAAGCCCTGGTTTTCATGAAACAAGTACAGTTAGTTTGACTGCATTAACCACGTGTCAGCAACTTTTGATCTTGAACAGAAGATGCAGGCTAAGCTCTGACTAGAAAGGAACACTCCTAACTTACTGCTTAGAGAATGCTTTCTATAGTAGCCAAAGGAAAATAGTTGGATTTATAACAGGTGAATTATCACTAATTGTAAATGTTTATCAGCCTAGAGAAGCTAAGACTGAAAGAAGACAAAAAATTGAAGAGAAAGATCCAAAAACAGGAAGCAAAAAAATTAGCACAAGAAAGAATGGAAGAGGACTTAAGGGAAAGTAATCCACCCAAAACGGAAGAGCAGAAAGGTATGCTGGAGTCCAAGGCATAATAACACTAATGTATTCTCGCCTAGACTATAAATGTGAATACTCATCCTACTGGGACTTAGGTTAATTGTTACTGAATTGAAATTTAGGTTTCCGTTAATATTTTAATACTGTCACGGGAGCAAGTGGTACACAGAGCACTGATTTTGGAAGCAGTACACAGGGATTCAAAACACTACCTGCCACCAACCTGGGGCAGACTGTGAGTTTACTCATTACTGAACTGAAGGTGGAAATAATGTTTGACGATGGTCTGTAGACTCCACTATGTGGATTTAGGTACCAAAACTGTGAACTATGAAGTCACTAATTATCTGAAATAATGCTGAGTTCAAATGAAGCTATTCATAAAAGGTACCATAGAGAGTGCCTAGTACAGCCTTTTTGTTTTATGTTCATCTTGTCATCATTCCATGATCAATGTGGGAACATATCTGGTAATTTCACTGTTTCTGTGGACATGTTGGTCTGTATGTATACTTCCAGATGACTGGAAGTAAGTTATTCTCATTTTCTACGATGGCCATCTATAAAATAAAATATTTCCTCTTGCTGTCTTTATTTTTTTCATCTAGTATTCCATTAATGTTTCACAAATCAACCAAAATGATCTTTCTTACTGAAAAAGTTTTCAGTGAATGTTGGTATTTTAACTTTGCGTGCTTCAAGAGGCTAAATGGCCATCTTGTAGGAAGATGAGTGGACAGGACGATGAACTTCTGAGATATTTTCTGACTAGTAGTCAATGAGTCCACAGGTCTGCAATTTAGGATCCAACAATAAGATGAATAATAAGAACTGCCAAATATTAATTGAATCTGTAACTGAATAAATGATCCCTTTAACTCCAAAAAACCCCTTAGTATTCTTAATGACTAAACATATTTACTGGGTATAAACATGTTATATTGGATATAAAATTTATAATTTTAGGTAGTTGATGAAGCTGGGTTAGAATGGTTGAGGGAAGTAACTTTATTTTAAAAGGATAAAATTTCAGGTGTTACATGAGTGGTACAGAGTGAAGGAGATAAGGTACTTTTTTGTGTTTTGTTGAACGTGAACTTCTATATTTTTTTAAAGGTATTGTTAAATACAGGGTGGAGCAAAAACGTACCTTTGTGACTGAGCAAAACACAAGAGTTTATTCTTGTATTATTATTTATTAATTATTGTATTATTTCCTATATGAACAACTGTAAACGTACTTTTGCCCCACCCTGTACTTAGATTTCTAATTTAAAATTTCTTGAGTTGTTTATTTAAAACAACATGAAGAATCCACCTGCGCCATGTTTATATTGCTCTGTAATGTTACAGCATTTCTCTCGAAGTTTCTATCTCTGCAGGTTGGTCCTATTTCTCACTGTAACTGACCGCTGTGGTTTATCCTTAGAAACTGTGGCCAGTGCTGAGAGCTGTCAGTTCCTGGACGACAGGATCTTGCAGTGCATCAAGCAGTATGCCGACAAGATCAAGTCCGGGGTGCTGAACGCGTCCACGCTCCTCAAAGAGCTGCTCTCCTGGAAGGTTTTGAGCACAGAAGACTACACAACCTGTTTTTCCAGCAGAAATTTTCTAAGTGAAGCGGTGGACTATGTCATTCGTCACTTGGTTCAAGAAAAGAATAGAGTCAAAACAAGGATATTCCTGCATGTTTTGAGTGAACTTAAAGAAGTGGAGCCAAAATTAGCTACTTGGATCCAGAAACTTAATAGCTTCGGTATGTCCTTCACTGTTAGAGATGCAGTTTAGTAGAAAGGACACGTGGGCCTCAGAGTCTTTTTTTGTTTTCCTGTCATTATTTTTGATTTTTTTTTAAAGTAAGACTACAAATGGGTATGATTAAAAATACTGTTTTTCCAACTCAAAATTTATAGCTTATTTTACAGAAAGGTTATAATATAGACTTTCAAAAGGTGTAAACACAAAAAAGTTCAGTCAGTTAGAAAATCCAGTCCCGTATTATGCTAAATATTTGTAAACGTGTAAAATGTAAGAACTGTAAATACCGGGCCCAGCCATGGGCTCATAGCACCCCCTGCCCACCCCGTGTCGTGCCCTCTGGGTTCCTGTGGTTCAGAAGTCTGATTCCTTAATGGAAAAGTTAGAGGGAAGAATGGATGGAATAATTGCTTAGGATCACCTAAGGCAAATCTGTGCTCAGGACTAACCATCTCTAAGGATGAGGAGAAAAGTACCTGTGTTGTTGTAAACCACGGGATTATAAAACTGTTCCTCTCCTCGTTTTCCTGGTTTGGCTGAGGAAGGCCCAACCAGGCTCTTTGCCCAAGGCCCTCAAGCAGGCACTGGGGAAGGCGGCTGCAGGCAGAGTTGTTGTCTAACCATTTCCTGTTTTAAAGGATGTTTGGGAATATTACTTTTTGTGCATATTACTGATGTTTTGTTACTATGGAATATGTGTAGTAAAGCATTATAAAATCTTGCTAGTTTGTACTGATTGGAATGAAAGTCATTATGAATTAGTGAGAAGGTCATTGCTGTATTTTAAAGAAATTTAATTCCTTTTTCTAAGTTTAATAAAAATAACTAATAATAGAAGCCTTTGGCCCACTTTATTCAACTAATAGATATGAATTATTGCAATTAGCATGTCCATGTTAAGTGGTGTTTATGAAATGTGTAATAGCTTAAACAAGTTTATTCTCAAGTATTTACATGTTTTCACTGCAATTGTAAGCAAATTGTAATGGAACCATTTTCAAAATGTGAAGGTGAATGTGGTTTTGCATTAAGTGGTTTTCCATCTGATTTGGGTTTTGTTTTTATCACAGGCTTAGATGCCACAGAATCCTTTTTTTCTCGTTATGGAGCATCTCTCAAGGAGCTTGATTTTAGCATCATGACTTTTCTCTGGAATGAGAAGTATGGTCATAAACTAAACTCTATAGAAGGAAAGCAACTTGACTATTTCTGCGAGTCGGCATCATTGAAGGAAGCCCGGTGTCTGATTTGGCTGCTGGAAGAACACAGAGACAAGTTCCCAGCCTTGCACAATGCGTTAGACGAATTCTTCGATATCATGGGTATGTGGGTCGAGTTTCAGTTTATATTATACCTAATCTTAGGGGGGAAATGTGTGTTTGTGGAGGGTAGTGATTAAGAATAGTACTTTTTTTCATGTTAAAACCTTTTTATTCTATGGAACTCAGTGTTGTGGACATATTCAGATCACTGTTCTCATCTTAGATATTTTGACAGTGTAGTGGCAGAGATTGTGTGTTGACAGAATTTATTACGAAATGGGTTTGATCTGGAGCAGTCAGGAAAATGGCTGCAGGAGGTGATGTTTGCAGAACCTAAAGCAGACAGACGGCACCTCTGCTGTGGGAGGAGTGGGAACTGCGAGTCAGGCATAGTGGGCTCTGGCTCACTTCTCCCCTCATTCCTTAAAAAGCTTGTTTTTACGCTGCTTTGCGGCCCATGCTACATGTTAACAAGGAATTCAGGAATGTTTAGCTATTCCCTGCCCTCAGCACCTTTTGCTCTTCAAAAGGGAATAAGATGAATATATGTATAATGTGGGGGTGAGCCCAGTGAGAGAAGAGGGGATAAGTGGGTTCAGACGTCGGAGTGAGCACATGCATTCTCCCGGGAAGAGGAAAGCCTGGTGTGGACAGAGTGACCTCCAGGCCTAGAGAGGATGGACGGCAATCAGGGACCTGTTTGGGTAAGGGCTCGGAGTGCAATTTGGCTGAATATGATAACTGGTGGTTAATTCTTTAGCTTCTCTTGATTCATAGCTTCTTCATCATTAAAATAAGAGAATTTGGAGCCAGTGATCTCTGTGGTCCCATTTTGCTTAAATTATGACATTTTAGATTCCAAATTAATTTGAATTTCTTATTTTTGCTACTACATGTAAGTCTTAGGGTAATGCCTCTCCCCTTTCCCCCATCATCAGAAGTTGACTTTATTGTTAGGCATTAGACTTGGAAATTTCGTGGTGTTTGTTTTATTTTTATTTATTTTTTTTTAAATATATTTTATTGATTTTTTACAGAGAGGAAGGGAGAGAGATAGAGAGCTAGAAACATCGATGAGAGAGAAACATCGATCAGCTGCCTCCTGCACATCTCCTACTGGGGATGTGCCCGCAACCCAGGTACATGCCCTTGACCGGAATCGAACCTGGGACCTTTCAGTCCGCAGGCCGACGCTCTATCCACTGAGCCAAACCGGTTTCGGCTCGTGGTGTTTGTTTTAAAATGTACATTAAAAGTCTGGCCCTATACAAAAATGTCACATGTTACAAAGTTCAAATGCATATAAGGAACTAAAGGCTTGCTTTTGCTGTGGTTCTTGTGAAGAGCACACCCACGTAGAGATGGCTTTCTCTCTCCAGGACTGTCTTCATGACTGGAGTGACAGGCTACGGGACGCCTGAATGTATTCCATCAGTTTGCTGCTGCTGCCAAGAAAATGCTGTCCCGGGACTGAGCTTGCACAACCCAGTGCATGTTTGGGTCACACCACAGGACAACTGAAAAGGACACAGTTCCCACTGTGTGCATTTTTCCGATTCTGGTGTTCTGTACCTAAAATGCACAGACCACCGGGCTGTAACCCTTCCTCTGCTCTCAGCCAGAGAGTCGGAAGCCAGCAGCAAATGACTGGCCAACAGATTCTCAAGTCCCGTAGCTCTGCCTCTCACCTTTACCCTGACATTTTCAGTTTCGTCTCCTTTCATTAGAAGTACTTATATTTCTTTAAAGTTTAAAACGTCCACGGATCTTGTAGATAAAGATATTCACTAATGTCACCAATGCTATGGTAGTTGGGAGCCCCAACCTGCCTCCTGAAGTCTGGGTGCATTTTCCCTGTTGGAATTTCTGTGTAGAAAGCCAAGAGGTCCCTTGAGAGCAATGTGTCTGAACTCGTTTACGTCCCACTTACTGGATTTATCTGGTCAGTAACATGGTTGTATATCCGGTTTTTAAGCAGGAAGCCTGGAATTGGTCTCGATTCTTCCTTCTCCCTATTACTCCATCCCTTGTTTGTCAGCAGTTCAAATGAGCTTCATCTTGGATCTCTCCTTCCCTGTCCATCCCACTTCCTAGCAAGGAGCGCAGTGGTCTTTCCGTGCACTAGTCAGTAGCCTCCAAACTGGTCTCCATACCTAGACCCTCCCCCTCCAGATCTTCCTCCTACGTTGCCTCTAGGGCAGTGGTTCTCAACCTTTCTAATGCTGCGACCCTTTAATACAGTTTCTTATGTTATGGTGACCCCAACCATAAAATTATTTTTGTTGCTACTTCATAACTGTAACTTTGCTATACTGTTATGAATCGTCATGTAAATATCTGATATGCAGGATGTATTTTCATTGTTACAAATTGAACATAATTAAAGCATAGTGATTAATCACAAGAACAATATGTAATTATATATGTGTTTTCCCATGGTCTTAGGCGACCCCTGTGAAAGGGTCGTTCGACCCCCAAAGGGGTCGTCGTGACCCACAGGTTGAGAACCGCTGCTCTAGGGACTCTTGAGGAACATCTGTCTGATCCTGTAACTATTCTCTTTGGGAACCACTTGCTTAGTTTGCTTACAGATTAAATTCACATCATGTATCTGGGCTCTTCGTCACTCTGCCCATCTGCCTTCTGAATCGACACCACACCAATGACTATGTCCCAACCTGCACTATGCTTTCCTGCCTCCTGTCTTTGCTCATCCAGTTCCTCCAGCCACATCCCACCCCGTTGCGTGTTCATTTCAAGCCCCTTCCTCCCCAAAGCCCTTGCTGATCCCTCTGGGCCTCTCCCCTTGAAGACTTCATTATTCCGTCAGCTTTGCTCCCATGTATTTATTGTGGGAGTTAGCACACTGGGTGGCAGGCATCTGCCTGGTTGTCTTTTTTGTAGAAACAGGTGTGTGGGTGGCAGGGACTGTTTTGTGCATCTCTATTCCCAACACCTGGCATAGAGTTTGGCACCTAGAAGGCACTCAAATTATGCTGAAATGGGTTGAAATTTTGTGGTTCTTTGAAGCTGGTTTCCCATTTAGTTAGCCATTTCACCCTTGCCTCCTAAACTAGACTTGTGTCAAAGCCAAATGAGGCATAGAACATAGTCTGTGTCAGTGTACCTGGGGTGGTTTTCTTTAAAGCTATAGTGCAGGGGTGGGGAATGTCTGGCCCGCCAAGGCCCGAGTAATCATGTGGTCTGGCCCTGCCAAGGCATTAGGGATGAGTTAATTGAATGTTTGAACAAATAGAGCAGGCTAATTTTTAAGTTGATAATTTGGTGTGGCCTACGAATGATGTTATAAATATCCAAATGGCCCTTGGCAGGAGAAAGGTTCCCCACCCGTTTTGGTGTATTATATGGCGATGTTAATGCTTCACTTGCTCACAAACGGTCTCTCTTCCTGCAGACAGCCGCTGCACTGTGCTGAGGAAACAAGACAGCGGGGATGTGCCAGTGAGTCATTTGATCACTTTAAATGCTGTGTTCTGGTTTGTGTTGGCCAAAGGAAGGGGGAGGACCCAGGCCAGTGTAGCTCCATCCTAGGTGGCACTGCCAGAACCCAATCTGGAGGACTTCCGATAGCATTTACTATTTCATTAGGAAGTTAATCCCAATCTGCCCCTTGGAATTGGAACAAATCAGCAAACGCTGAGGCTTACATTAGACAACGGCCTTAAAGTTTCACAACTAATAAATGTTAGTCTTAGAAATAGGAAAGCAGTTCTTGAATAATCTCCTGGCATAAAAATGAAAAGTTATCTGTAATTGTGAAAATTTTCATGTTTTGCTCTTTAAGAAAAATAAAGGGACTTTGTTTTGAGTGCCTCCAAATTGAGTTTAACTTAGAATAATGCCAGAGTTGTCTTCCTTAGTAGGTTGTGGCAGTTTTCAAACAGAAAATTGCTTGTTTACTGACTTTTTAGGATCAAGTCATCTATACTTGAAGTTTTGTCTTAGTCCATTCTATCAAGTATTGCCCAGCTACACATGGAAGCACAACTAAGATACCCTGTGAGAGGTTAAAGCTTCTCCTAAGTGCACTGTCAGTGTTCCTGTGTCTGGCCAGGTGCACATGTCTAGTTTGCCTAAGTAAACGGAAAATCATTAAAATACTATTAGCATGTACCCGGAATTATCTTAAAAGTCTGATATAAACTATTGAAAATGAGTTCAAAATGTTGGAACAATGTAATTTTAGTTATAACATTAGGCAACATTAAACTTTTTCTTAATTTCTGTTATAAATCACAACAATAGGGCTGACACACTATAGTGTTATTTTTGTTAAACATTTTATGTAATTCAACTTATGACCAGTCTCAAAATCATAGTATAATACATGGTAGCTTCATAGTGCTGTTACTTGAGTGTTCAGTGATTTCTTTCTCCTTTTTTAGTTTAATTCTACCAAGATAAAAAACAAAGGCAAGAAAAAGAAGCCAAAAGATTTAAAGGTATGGAGTATTTTCTGAGTTAATTCTTATGTAAAATAATTTAATATGTAAGTTAGAATTAACCAGTTCTTGGGATATTTTGAAGCATTTTGTTGAGATGAGTTTCTAGGCTTTAAAGATATTTTGGCAGTCTTCTACATTTTGAATAAATTCAAGGTTCATATTCTATATAAGTAACACTTAAAAGAAACTTTTATTTTTATTGTCCTTTTTATTTTCTGAAAATTTCTGAGTAAAGACAATTTTCATAATGTGTAATTTTGTCTGGATGGTTCTAGAACAGGGTGACCAAGACAGCTTTGGGGTCAGCTAGACCTGAATTTATAGCTTGGCTCTTGACCAATTATTGTGATTTTTATTGCTGTTTCTATTGTCTCTGTGACCTTGGGCAAGTTATTTGACTTCCCTATGCCCTAGTGTTACCATTTGTATGATGACATGATACTTCTTATCAATAACAAAAATATTCAAAATAAAGGTGGTAAATACTAACCATTAAAGCAGAATCTCAGACTTGATAGGCTCCCTTCCTTCCTCTCACCCAAGGCCAAGCTCTAAACCCATGAGGTTGCTAGTGGGCTCTTCATAGCTCTCATGTATTTGAGGGCTCATGTTGGGGGCAGGTGTGGAAACAGTGAACAAATATCACAGGAGGATGAGAGCAGTCAATAAAACTAATGGGTCCTGACCGGTTTGGCTCAGTGGATAGAGCGTCAGCCTGCGGACTGAAGAGTCCTAGGTTCTATTCTAGTCAAGGGCATGTACCTTGGTTGCAGGCACATCCCCAGTAGGCGGTGTACAGGAGGCAGCTGCTCGATGTTTCTCTCTCATCGATGTTTCTAGCTCTCTATCCCTCTCCCTTCCTCTCTGTAAAAAATCAATAAAATATATTTTTTTTAAAAAACTAATGGGAATTTTAAACTGAGTGACATTTAAATTTTTTTGGAATGTGGTAAGCTACCTAAATGTTAATTTGGGCCTATTTATGGTTGTTGAAACTTTTATTATTAATGTGTTCCTATTCAAAAGACAATTTAGATAAATCTCATATATTGTCAGTTTGCATGCTTATTTATGTAAGCAGTCATCAGTATTAATGGCAATTTTCAGGTAGAACATTATTGTCATTCTTCTGTCTTTTAAACCAGCCTATGTTAGTTGGGTCTGGAACAACTTCAGTAACACCTAATAATGAGACTATCGCTTCAGGTGAAGACCATAAGTAAGTACAGTTTTTAAATTTTTACTTCATTTTAACTCAAGTGTTTTTAAGCGATGTTAATTTAATGCACTTTACATTTGTGCTTTCCCTAACTTCTCTGTCTAAAGATATGCATCTATGACGACAACCTTATGTGACCATCTTGGTTGAATTTATAGCATGGCTTGTCATTGTTGAAAATTCATAAAAACTGCATTAAAATCACAAGGTTGCCCCAGCTGGGTGGATCCATTGGTTGGAGTGTTGTCCTGTACACCAGAAGGTTGTGGGTTAGATTCCCAGCCATGGCACCTACCAAGGTTTTAGGTTTGATCTCTGGTCAGGGTGTGTACGAGAGGCAACTGATCCATGTTTTTCTCTCCCTTTCTCTCTAAAACCAGTTAAAAAAACATATCCTCAGGTGAGGACAGTAAAAAAAATAAAATCACAAGGCTGATGATATTCACTTGATAAGTGTGAGAACCCACTATGTGCAAGATACTATGGGGCAGTCCTAGAAAATGTTCTTTAAAATGTTCATTGAAGAGAATGTTCTATTAATAATTACTGGCATATTTGCTAAAATAGGAGAAATGGAGATGTTTTGGAAGTTATATATGAGGTAATAGTTTAACCTTAAATGTTAGTGATTTTTAATAACATCTGGTTGTTGAAGCTAAGTTTTAAAGAAACAAATAGACATAAGTAGAAATAAAACTAGTCAGTAGCAGTGACCTTTTTATATCATACTCTTTTCTGGGCTAAAAAACACAAAAAAAGTTTGGGGTTTTTTCTACATTTCTTAAAGAGGTTGTGTAAAGTTGTTTTGCACAGTCATTTTCATGGATTCTTTAAGTGGAGAAATTGTTTTAAGTTAAAATTATAATAGCCTATATTTATATTACACTTATATACCAGGCATTATTCTAAGAGCTTTCCATATAGTACAACTCATTTAATCCACAGTGAATGCCACAACATCAGCCCAGCATCACATGTCTCACTCGTTCACTTTAAGATTTAACATACGAGTAGTTTGAGTTACGAGCTCACAGAGCTTGTAAACAGCAGAGCCGAATTGTAAACCCAGCAATCTGGTGTAGAGCCCACACTCAAACTGCATCTTTGTAGAGTGCTAAAATCATTCCCTTTAAAAAAAAATCTTTTTATTAAGTACCAGTCTCGATTTCACTTTAAATTAATAGCAGTTATAATAAAACTTTCATTGTTCACTATAACAAGTTACAATCAATGCAACATTGATTCTTTTTATTTTTTAAACCCGGGAGTTTTAAAAAATGTGCTCTTGGTAGCAAGAATAAGTAGGTAATTAAAAGTGCTTATTCAGTAGTCAGGCACATCTACTTCTTGACTGTAATTGTGGAAGGTAACTTCTCTGCATTAAATTCTCTGGTAGCAGGTTTTTGTTTTTTTGCATCATAATACCACATAACATGTTACTATCTTTATGTTTATTTCCATTTAATGTTGGTGAGGCAAAAGTAGGTTTATAGTTGTGTATTCTTGTATTATTATTTATTAATTATGGCATTACAGTGGGGCCTTGACTTACGAGTGTCCCGACTAACGAGTTTTTCGAGATACGCTCCGTCTCTCGGCCAATTTTTTGCTTTGAGTTGCAAGCTAAAATTCGGGTTGCGAGCCAGCTTCCGCTAGTTGGCGCAGCGAACGTCACAGTGAATGCCACAACATCAGCCCAGCATCACGTGTCTCACTCGTTCACTTTAAGATTTAACATACGAGTAGTTTGAGTTACAAGCTCTGTCACAGAACGAATTAAACTCGTAAGTCAAGGCCCCACTGTATTTGCCATACAAACAACTGTAACCTACTTTTGCCTAACCCTGTATTATTCTCGGTCACCTAAAGCTGGGTCAATTATTTAAAAAAAATTTTTTTTTTAAATCAACAGACGCAATTCAAATTCCGCAGGCCCGTTTGTAGTGCCTGACCACCTTCGGCAAGATGTAGCAGAATTCGAAGCTCTGTATGGACAGCACAGCAATGAGTATGTTGTCCGTAAAAAGAAGCTGTGGGACATTAACCCAAAGCAAAAAAATTCAACTCTGTATGAGTGAGTAGGATGTTTCTACAACTACTATTTTATATGGGGGCTGCCAGTTAAAGATGTTAAGTTGTTTAATTTGTGTCCCAAATGATTATTAAAGGAATCATTTGATGGCTTGTAAACTCTGGGAAAGGAAAGTGTTTTTGTAGCTTTTGTTCAGTATTATACAAATAAAACTGAGGGGTTTTAATTATTAAATTTAAAATCCTAATGATTATTTTGTCAGTTTGAGTTGCTAATGTGGATACTTCCTGCTTCCAAAACTGTCCTGCTACGTCCTGATAGGACTGATAAAAGTTTCCAGCCATGAACGTTTCACCATGAATTTCAGGTTACACATTTGACAAGGGGGAGAATGATTATGTGATCTCATTGTCCTTACGTTGATGGATGCATCTGTTTGGCATCTTATAAGTCCAGCCGAGTAGCTTGGTGAAGTGTTAACCTTTTACCTGGAAAAGGATGCCCAGATCTTGTTCTTACTTCCGCCTGATGATGGCTGTTTAGCTGGATGGCCCTGTGTCCCTGTATGGTATTAGAGACTTGACCTCCTGACATTAACCTAATAAAAGCGAAACTGACTTTCCTTTTGAAGTAACTTGGGTGTGAGTTACTTTTGGATTGAAAATGTGGATGTTAAATTAGCACTTAAGGCGAGTGTGAGTGGTTATCCTATATAATAAAACCCTAATATGCAAATCGACCAAACGGCAGAACGACCAGTCGCTATGACACGCACTGGGTATTGGGCCTAAGCCAGCAGGTGGACGTTCCCAAAGGGGTCCTGGACTGCGAGAGGGCGCAGACCGGACTGAGAGACACCCCTCCCCCCCAGTGCACAAATGTTGTGCACCAGGTCTCTAGTCTATATATATAAAGGCTAAGCGACCGTCTGACCGTCTGGCACCTATGACGCACACTGACCACCAGGGGGCAGACGTTCAACACAGGAGCTGCCGATCTGTGGTGACTTGGCAGCAGCGGTTCTCGGGTGACACACCCCAGAACCAGAGAGGAGGGAGCCCAATTCTTCGTGGGGCTGAGCAATTCCACCTTCGGCTGTGGGTTATGTTATTGCTGGGGCACTGTCAGCCCCAAATCTTGTTTACTGCCTAGATGCAGTAACCACAGATACCCTTCAAGCCATGGCACCACCCCAGGGGTGTGGCTGGCTGGGGAGGGAATGCGGGAGGTTGGCTCCAGGGCGTGTCTGGCCCATCTTGCCCAGTTCCACACCACCAGCCACCTTCTAATTAATTTCCTTTCAATGTGCACGAATCCGTGCACCGGGCCACTAGTATGACATAATGGAGTAAAGAGTTCAGAGAGATTTGGAATTACCATTTTGAGGTTGGCGTTAATAAGAAGTGCATGGTGTTTTCCTCAAGAAATGAAACTGAGGGCTAAGATCTGCAACAGAATTAAATCAAAAGCTAACTGTTCTCCTGGAAAAACCTGTCACTCATTCACAATTTGGTCATTCTGTTTTCCTCAGTTGCTGCATTCCTATTTAGTCTGGTTATATGCTCTTGGGTTCCTCTTAATGGTTTTTCTTTATTTTCTTTAATATACTTTTATTGATTTCAGGGAGGAAAAGAGATAGAAACACCAATGATGAGAGAGAATCGTTGATTGGCTGCCTCCTGCATGCCTCACACTGGGGATTAAGCCCGCAACCCAGACACATGCCCTGACCAGGAATTGAACCATGACCTCCTGATTCATAGGTCAATGCTCAACCAATGAGCCATGCCAACCAAGTGACTTTTTTTGAGGCCAGAAAAGTGGATAAATAGAGTTAAAGTTCATTTTGGATTGCATTTCAAATAATAGTAATTATAAAAATTTTATTCACAATAAGGTTATAATATTATTTCTTTGGACTAGGCAAGAAATAGTCCAAATTTTGGACTATTTTTCACACATTCAATTTTGTTCTGCATTGAATGTGTGAAAAATTTGTTGCTACTTAGCCAGTGGACAAAACCTGAAGGTTCTGTTTTTTGAAAAAAATTTTTTCTGATTATAAAAGTAACTAGTGGCCCAATACACAGATTTGTGCACATTGAAAGGAAATTAATTAGAAGGTGGCTGGTGGGGCAGGACTGGGCAAGATGGGCCGGACACGTCCTGGAGCCAACCTCCCGCAGTTCCTCCCCGCGCCGAACCTGGGGCAGTGCTGCAGCTCAAAGGGCGCCTGTGGTCACCACAACTCGACAGTAAACCAGATTCGGGGCCGACAGTGCCCCAGCAACAACATAACTCACGCCAAAGGTGGAATCGCGCAGCCCCACAAGGAATCGGGCTCCCTCCTCTCTGATTCTGGGTTGCGTCACCTGAGAACTACCGCAGCCAAGTCACCGCAGCTCAGCAGCTCCTGTGTTGAGCATCTGCCCCCTGGTGGTCAGTGCACATCATAGGTACTAGACGGTTGGATGGTCGGACAGTCGCTTAGCCTTTTATATATATAGATAATACAGATTCTTGAATTTTTAAAAAATAAAGTTGAAAGGACAAAATAAAAAAATTATTATTTCTATCATCCAGATATAACCACAGTTAACTTTTGTTGTGCATCCCCTCAGACTTTTAAAAGTCTGTGTATAAAATAGGTTTTAAAATTTGCAAACTGTGGTCGTACTATATGCTCAGCCTTGTCATTTACCTTTTCACCTGAAAATGCACAGTGAGCATTTTTCATATTCCTGACTATTCTTCAGGAACGTGACCTACTGGTTGCTGGATGGTTGTCACCAGCTCGGCATCAGCACTTCGTGGCTGGCTGTGGAAAAGCTCACGAGGTCGCATAATCATACTATCCTTGTCACATGTGTAACTTGAAATTTGTTGTTGAGATGGAGAGTGATTCCTTTCATGTGGTCTCTTCTTCAGTTACCCCATTTGGGATTTAAGTATTTTCATCCAGATAGAACGTTTTATGTTTCAATAATTCTCTTAAGTATTCATCATGGAGAGAAGAAGTAAATACATATACACCATTGATGCTTGTTCTGCTCTTGCTCAGTGGCAACTAAACACCAACAGAAAAGGGCTCTCTTCAGACAAAGGAGGGGAGGGTCAATGTTATTTATACTAGTCAGCCAAAATCCTCTACAAGGATTACTGTTCCTGAGACTGCATCACTTGTTGCTTTGTACTTCACTCTCCTCAACCCCTTTTTGTTTTTAGAAATTTCCCATTAAAAATGAAGTTTGATGGGAATCTTAAAGCAAAAACATATTTAACATGTTATCTTGCAAAACATGTATGTAGGGAAGTTTCAATTGTAGAAATTATTCTAAGGGAACATAGTCATCAAAAAACACTTTAAGAGAGATGGGTGACTTTTCAGTATAGAGAGCAGCAGTGCTGACAGAGTGACATTGGGTCTTTATGCTTCAGAGCATCGGCCATTTGCACAGAGGGCAGCCGTTTGTAATTGTTCTGTGCATTTATCTGCAGCAGCTTCTGCACAGAAAGGAGTTTTCTTTGCTTCAAAAAGTGTTGCTTTTATCTCCTAAATAACTTGTCTTCCTGGTTAACATTAATTTACTAAGAAAGTTTCTTTGGAGATTTTTGCTCTTGAAAAGCCTTCTTAGTTGTATGTGGTATGTGTCTGTCTTGTTAGTTTCTCACTGTTATAGACTGAAACCAAATTCAGATGGAGGAGGAAGCCTTTGTGAGCCTGAGAATAGATAGTGCCCAGACCTGGGGTGACCACAGTCCAGAGCTGGAGGCAGATTAAGGGACCTGCTCTGTTACTGTGGGTCTGATCCTGTACTGTATTGGCTTATTGATCGGACATGATTGATTTCAATACCTCTGAATCACATCCTACTCTTAACCAAAAAATTACAATAGATGTACTATATGTAAATTCCAATCAGATTTTTTCTGGAAATTTTATTTCCTCTTTTCACTTGACATTTTGTTTTTTCTCAGATAAAGTTTCTTTTCATTGCTTTTTAAATAGATTGTATACTTATATGATTAAAACGTATAAAGTAACTTTTTAATCCCCTTTATTTTTTTTACTAAAAAAACTTTTTAAAAATTATTTTCTGAGGGAGAAACAAAACTTTATTTATAGTATCATTGGTTACAGTTAGCCTTTCTCAGATTTAATATGAGTATAATATTTGTTGGGGAGGAGTTGAGATCAGCTGGAAGTGAAATAGTATTTGCTTTGGGAGAATTTTTTGGGAAATATATATTTCTAATGAACATGTACAAGTACTTATAATAACTTATATAAATGCAAATTTTTTCCCCCAGTTATTTCTCTCAGTTGTTGGAGGAGCATGGTCCCTTGGATATGAGTAACAAGATGTTCTCTGAAGAATATGAATTCTTCCCAGAAGAAACTCGTCAGATACTAGAAAAAGCTGGAGGTTTGAAATCTTTCCTCCTAGGATGTCCTCGTTTTGTTGTGATTGACAACTGTATTGCTTTGAAGAAAGTTGCATCACGGCTCAAGAAAAAGAGAAAGAAGAAAAACATCAAGACAAAAGTGGAAGAAATGTCAAAAACAGGAGAGTACTTACGAGTTAAACTGCCGCTGAATCCAACCGCTAGGGAATTTAAACCAGATGTGAAGTCCAAAGCAGTGTCCAGTTTATCTTCAGCACCAGCTTCTGAGGGTGCAAAACCCCGGCCTGCCTCTGCTGATTTTCCCAAACCAGCCTGTGAAACTGAGAAGCCACAACCAGTGTCCAAGCCACAACCAGTGTCCAAGCCACAACCAGTGTCCAAGCCACAACCGGTGTCCAAGCCACAACCAGTATCCAAGCCACTACCACTGCCCGAGAATTCTCACAGGTCAGTTTCAGAGGGCGAGAAGTCCAAAGAGGTCGCTCCCAGTCCTCCCAAAGCAGCCTCTGAGGATGCGAGTCGCCATCCTCAGGGTCGTTCGACCTCCATTTCTCCCAAGCCAGTTCATGAGGACGTGAAAACAACCTATTGGACTCAAGCCCATGTGGTCACAGGGTACTGTACATACCTTCCCTTCAGGGCATTCGAGCTTGCCCCGCCACCACCAGCATACATAAGCATGGTCCCAACGTTGCCCCAGTACACTAACATTTACACACCGCTGGCCACCATTTCAACTGAATATCAGCTGCAAACATCAGTGACAGTGGTGTCATCTTACGTAGCCAATGACAGACCAGATCAGAGTGCTGCTGTGTATTTTGATGGTCGTCGTTTGAATGCTGAGCATGCCCCTGGCAACCAGATTGCCTCAGAAACACAGATCCTTCAGGACTCTTTGCAGATATCAGTAAAGTCACAGTACAGCACAGGTGGTGCTGATCCAGCCCAGAGTGAGCCCAGCAGAAATAATGGTCACTGTGGAAATTCTGCCCACAAGCAGGAAGCAAACCCAGAAAGGACCGATGAAGCCACGAATATTCCACATACACAAGTGGTTGCCATACAGGTAAGACTTAAATAGAAAGAAGTTGTCTTAATACTGAAGTTAAATTTTTTTTTCATTTTTCATTGCCAATATATATACACTAAAATGATTGAACAAATATGGTTACTAATGCTTTCACCTGAAAGTGTCTTAAAAATATGATCCCTTTTGTAGGACCTAATAGGTAATCTTGTCAAGAAAGAATTTTAGGGCCTAGTAAATAATACCCTTGTTTTCTACCCCAGTTTTGCACCAGTGGAGAAATAAACTAGAAGAATCAGTAGATGTAACCAAACATCACCTTAGTAATATTAAGGCACAGTTGGAAAATGTGCTTCTTTCTATGCAGAGTGCATGTCCTAACAGGAACCCCCACTCACCAGTTTATGCCCTACAGCAGCGCTGGACCGGAGGCCTCCCAGCATGGGTGCCTGCCCCATACGATGTAGAGAAGGAGGGACAGCGTGCTTTCTGCACACGCAGCCCCCCTAGAGGAAGGGAAAGAGAGTCCGGGCTACACATGCACGCCCAGTTTCTCCTACCAAAACGGGAGCAAGAGGGAGTTAAGGCAGCCAGATGGAGAGAAACAGGAGGGGGGTGCATAAAAGTTCCTTCCTAACAAGCATGAGAATAAATTTAAATGCCTCTGTAGTTAACTTTACTGGGCATGAATTCATTAAACCCTGATTGGATTATCCCCTACTCACCAAGTTTTCTATTTTCTAGAAAGCTTTGAACTAATATGTTAATAGTAATGAGTCAAAATCATTTTTTTTAAAAAAAAAAACTTACAAAAATTATGAGCATGTTTTTAAATGGTATTACATAATGGACCTATTTTACTAGAGCAGTTGACATAGATTAAAATTGAGTGTTTGTTTTGCCCCAAAGGTGTCTGGGAATGTAGCACATCGAGAAGTCAATACTGAGCCATATGATCCTTTTGAGGCACAACAGGTGAGTCAGAATTGTATTACACTGTAAAGGTTCCAGTGTCATTCATTTAACTAGATGGGAATGACTGACTAGAACTATTTTGGAGCCATCTACTAGTAATTCCATATGAAATGTTATTATGGAATGAGCTTTAGAGAATAACCAAAGAAGTCCTGTTCTGTTTTTATTGTTGGAATTGGGTAAGGAGAAGCAGATGAAAAGGTAAGATTTTTTTCTAGCTTATTTATTTCATAGTATAATGGCTTTACTGTTTAACTCAGTGGTTCTCAACCTTCTAGCCCCTTAAATACAGTTCCTCATGTTGTGACCCAACCATAAAATTATTTTCGTTGCTACTTCATAACTGTAATGTTGCTACTATTATGAATCGTAATGTAAATATCTGATATGCAGGATGGTCTTAAGCGACCCCTGTGAAAGGGTCGTTGGACCGCCAAAGGGGTCTCGACCCACAGGTTGAGAACCGCTGGTTTAAGTGCTATAATGAGCCTGTATTAATTGATAAATAGTGCTTATTCGCATGAATGATATAGATAATATTATAAAGACCTTCACTTTCTAAAGAATGATTGAATTAGAAAATCTATTAATAGAATTTACTGACTAATATACCTTCAGAGAAAAGTTATTTGATCGACTCCATAGTTGCTAAAAAGGTACTGGCAGCGGTTCTCAACCTGTGGGTCACAACCATCGGAAACACATATAGCATATCAGGTATTTACATTATGATTCATAACAGTAGCAACGAAAATAATTTTATGGTTGGGGGTCACCACAACATGAGGAACTGTATTAAAGGGTCACGGCATTAGGAAGGTTGAGAACCACTGCTTAGAGTATGGCTTTTGTTTGTTTGTTTTAAAGCTGGTTTGAGATAGTTACATATCTGAAAGCAATTCATTGATAATATTTTAACTTAAAAAAAATCAGCAACTATCCATTTAAAACACTTTAAAGTAGAACCAAAGTAAAAAAAAGTTCTGTTCATATCTAAAATATGCATAATATATGCAGCTTTTAATCCTAAAAAATAGTTCTTGATGTTAATTGTTAGAGAATGACATTCACATAAAACTATTGATTCAATACCAAACCCTTCTAAGACAAATATTCAGAACTAGTTATAGTACAGATCGAAAAGTTTCATTATAAATTCCAGTAATACGAATAACATTATTTTAAAAGAGCTGGCTTTGCTTAACAGTGTTCAGGAGTTTTTAATTCTTTTTTTTTTTAATTAAATCTTTATTGTTCAGATTACATTTGTTCCTCTTTTTTTTCCCCCCCCATAACTCCCCTCCTCCCAGTTCCCACCCCACCCTCCACCCTCATTCCCCACCCACTGTCCTCATCCATAGGTGCACGATTTTTGTCCAGTCTCTTCCCGCATCTCCCACTCCCCTTTCCCCCCCAAGAATAGTCAGTCCATTCCCTTTCTATGTCCCTGATTCATTATAATCACCAGTTCATTCTGTACATCAGATTATTTATTCACTTGATTCTTAGATTCACTTGTTGATAGATGCATGTTTGTTGTTCACAATTTGTATCTTTACCTTTTTCTTCTTCCTCTTCTTAAAGGATACCTTTCAGCATTTCGTATAATACTGGTTTAGTGGTGATGAACTCCTTTAGCTTTTCCTTATCTGTGAAGCTCTTTATCTGACCTTCAATTCTGAATGATAGCTTTGCTGGATAAAGTAATCTTGGTTGTAGGTTCTTGGTATTCATCACTTTGAATATTTCTTGCCACTCCCTTCTGGCCTGCAAAGTTTCTGTTGAGAAATCAGCTGACAGTCGTATGGGTATTCCCTTGTAGGTAATTGAGTCTCTTTCTCTTGCTGCTTTTAAGATTCTCTCTTTGTCTTTTGCTCTTGGCATTTTAATGATGATGTGTCTTGGTGTGGTCCTCTTTGGATTCCTTTTGTTTGGGGTTCTCTGCGCTTCTTGGACCTGTAAGTCCATTTCTTTCACCAGGTGGGGGAAGTTTTCTGCCATTATTTCTTCAAATAGGTTTTCAATATCTTGCTGTCTCTCATCTTCTGGCACCCCAATAATTCTGATATTAGTGCGCTTGAAGCTGTCCCAGAGGCTCCTTACACTATCTTCGTATTTTCGGATTCTTTTTTCATTTTGCTTTTCCGGTTGGGTGTTTTTTGCTTCTTCGCATTTCAAATCTTTGACTTGATTCTTGCGCTCCTCTGGTCTGCTATTGGGTGTCTGTATAATATTCTTTATTTCAGTCAGTGTATGCTTAATTTCTAGTTGGTTCTTTATCACAGCATCGAGGGTCTCATTAGATTTCGTGAGGCTCTCATCAAGTTTATTGGCAGCTTCTAGCACATTATTGCAAGCCCTCAAAATTGCGTTTTTTAGCTCTATATCTTCCATTTCTGTCATGTTTTTTTGTCTCCGCATTTTTTATGCTTTCTTGGTGCACCCCCTTGTGGTCTTTGTGCGCAGTCTTGTTCTAGTTAAGCCTTGATTGTTGTAGTTAATACTAGAGGGATTTGACCACCAGGCCAACTGGCTGTGAGAATCAGCTGTATCTGCAGTGGGAAAACTTCTGTCCTCTGGAGAGGTGCTAATCTAGCCTTTGCCTGAGGCTATCCGGCAAATGGCTCTGCGCAGGGCTTGGGCGGGGCGGGTCGAACGGGATCAACAGGGCGGGTGGAGGGAGCAGTTATGGCTGCTCTCAGTCTCGTTCCCAGAGGCTCTGATTCTCAGAACCCCAGCAACCGCTGCAAACCTCGGAGAGAAAGCTGCCCTCGAGTTCCAACTGATGCCAGACAATCCCGCCTCTCCCGTTTGAGTCTGAGTCCCTAGAGACTCGCCCGGATCTGGAGCTCAGAGTCTGAGACTCTCTCTTGATTGAAAACGACAACCGCGCCCTCAGCCACCAGCCCGCTTTGCGCGCGCACCTCCGCACCTTTGTATTTTCCACACTGCGCCTCCTCTGAGCCTCGGTATGCTGTTCTCTTTCCTTCTAGTTGAAGAGTCTCTCCTCAGCCAGCCTTCCTGTGGTTCTGGGTGATGTCCGTTCCGTCTTTTAGTTGTATTTTTGAAGTGGTTGTTTGTGGCAGCAATCTCCGGTGTTTACCTATGCCGCCATCTTGGTCTCTCTCGAGTTTTTAATTCTTGAATCATTGTGGCATTTCCCTTGAAAATTTTCATCTGCCTTTTACTCTCCTTTGTTTATTTTAAGAGGCAGTTCAGAACAAGATCAGAAATAGGCATTTTTCGCTACTTTAATAGAAAACTTTGTAATTTACTTTTAGGGGGATATTTCACAGATTGAAAAGGAGTCCCAAGTTTTACAAGAGCAGCTTGAGGAAGCCTGTGAAAATTACGAGCAGAGAAAACTGAAGGCCTCAGAAGAGACCAGGGACCTGGAAGAAAAGTTGAAAAGGAACTTGGAAGAAAACAAGGTAATACTATCTGAAACCTCTCTTTAAGAGCATGTGGCATCATTAGGAGAATGTGCTTGTGCAGCCCATGAGCTGAGCGTCTGCATTGTTGGCTACACAAAGGATTCTTTCTCAGTATTGCTTATTTCAGATTTCTCCAGGACATATTAAAGTGGCAGTGTCTTTGGTGGGTTTTTTTTCAATGTTTAGGACCTCTGCAAGTCACCATATAAGAAAGGGGCTATAAATCTGGGTTTTCATTTACCTATAATTCAGTCCGCTTGATTAACCAAAACTATTTCTGGTGACTAAGTTCCAAGTTAGTCTTGTTTATATTGAGAGGCAGTGTAGCATTAGTGGTTAGGAGTGTGAGGCCTGGAGTCAGACTGGCTGGGTTCAGATCAGGCTGGGCCCTCTCCCAGTTCTGATTTGGGGCAAGTTATTAACTTCTCTGTGCTTTAGTTCCTGACCTGGAAAATTTGGGCGATAATTGCTCTCATTTTGTGGGGTTAGATTAATACTTACAAAGTACTTAAAACTGGTGCATAGGAAGGGCTCTATGCATGTTGGCTGCCACTATTATTACTATTATTATCATCTTCATCTTATTCCTAAGTAAGGGTGAGAATAACACGTAGAACTTACGCACCCCAGAACTGCAAAGCCACCCAGGGTGTCTTTCTGAGTCTCCTGATCTTGAATTATGTTGGCTAAGAGTATCAGTTACATGTAACTGCTACTGGAGTGATACTAATTAGCGGCAAAGCCAGATTGAATTGGGGGGACGTGGGATTATAGATGTGAGAAATCGTGGTGTGTTTCTTTTTGAAGTACAGTGGGGCCTTGACTTACGAGTGTCCCGACTAACGAGTTTTTCGAGATACGAGCCGTGTCTTGGCCGATTTTTTGCTTTGAGTTGCGAGCTAAAATTCGGCTTACGAGCCAGCTTCAGATACCCCACCGCTAGTTGGCGCAGCGAACGTCACAGTGAACGCCACAACATCAGCCCAGCATCACGTGTCTCACTCGTTCACTTTATGATTTGACATACGAGTAATTTGAGTTACGAGCTCCATCGCGGAACGAATTAAACTTGTAAGTCAAGGCCCCACTGTACGGTCAGCCATCTAGAGCAGTGGTTCTCAACCTTCCTAATGCCGCGACCCTTTAATACAGTTCCTCATGTTGTGGTGATCCCCAACCATAAAATTATTTTCGTTGCTACTTCATAACTGTAATTTTACTACTGTTATGAATCATAATGTAAATATCTGATATGCAGGATGTATTTAGGCGACCCTTGTGAAAGGGTCATTCGACCCCCAAAGGGGTCGCGACCCACAGGTTGAGAACCGCTGATCTAGAGGTAACAGGGATGGTAGTCATTTAAGAAAGGAAGAGCCTGTTGCAGAAGTCTGGATCAGTAGCTGGGGCAATGTATTAAATAGAATAAAATTAGCTCAGTGGGACCTTAATCAGGAAACTCGTTTATTGAGCCTGGCCAGTGTGGTTCGGTGGAAGATACCTCAAATACTTACTTTGGAATAAAGTTGAGGTTTTAAAAAAGAGGTAGAGAAACCAAATTTTCTCTAATTGAGAAAAGGATCATCAGAAAGTGGTTATAGTTATCTCTCTAAACCGGTGCATGTAGAGGATGCAGTTATATCCTCTGGGCTGTTCCTTCTTTTATTCTGATATTTGCAGGAAAAGGATTCAGATCGTTGTCATTGGTGGAGTCAGAGACAAGTGCATGGAGGCTGCCCCGGTTAGTGTTGTGAGGCCCGTGTCGTTGAAAGGTGGTCGGTACACACAGCAGGCGAGCTCCCGCAGCATATTTTGTGGTTGAGCTATAAGAGTGTGCTTATAATAGTGCACTTTGATACCTGATTCCTTCAGGTACTTGTTGCCAAGGTGGTTGTCGTGCCACAGTAGAACCTTTGGTTGCACATCATCTCCCAGCCAAAGGGTTGGGTCAGAGGTGAAATCATTGGCTTAGAATAGAAGCACAGGTGGGTGAGAAACAAGGTCAGCGTGGCTGCCAGCAGCAAGGCATGCAAATGGACTTTGCTCATAGTTGTAGAAGTGATCCAGGTAGAATCAGGATTTTGTAAGTAGAGGAGGTCACCTTAGTCATTGTAATGACTCAGCAAATCCAGGGTCAGCAAGGAAAATGTGAGGAGAACATTCCCCTGCTAGAGGGGGTGTCACTGGACTGTCACTGAACCTCTGCTGCCCAGGAACAGTTGGCTGTGCACCTGAAGGCCGCTGGAACCAGCCCCACCACTGTAGTCGGACTCGGCAGTCTGCAGGGACCTGGGCTGGCCAGCCAGAATGCCTCCCGGGCCATTGCAAACCAAGTGCCAGCGGAGACAGGAGGTTGCTGGGGTCAGACACGAATCTTTTCAAAGCTGTCTCAGAGGAAATACTCCAATTTCCTCCATGTCTTCCTTGCACCACAGGTCTCTGCTTCCAGAACCCAGCTAAGACTGTTTCTCTGTAGTCGAACAGACTCCCGTGGCCTAGGCATTTGTCCTCTTATACTTGAGACCTCGTTGTAACCAGTTTGACACTGAAGCCATTTCTCCCTGCCCTGCCTTCCATACGTCCACTCTGCACTCCAGCTGCGTCGCACCTCTTGCTTTTGTGCAGATGTGCCGTAACCGTATTCTTCTGCTTGAGTCGTGCTGCGAGTGGCAGGCTCATCTGGGAGCCCGAGATCGGATACCTCTGGTTCTGAGAAGCCCTTTCTGAGCACCATGGTCTGTCCTTGGTTTGTTACCTGACATCCCCTCCTGCCTGATTCACGGAGGGCAGGAGAGGGCTGCTGGGGCTGAGGCCACATCCTGGACCACGTCGTACGTAGCCCAGGCTCAGCCCGGGAGCACAGCCAGCTGTGACGGTTCAGCTGAACCCGAGTCAGGGCCTAGGCGGGGTCACCAGCACAATTCTCATCTCTCAGGCTCCTTTGTTTCATGAAGTAACTCTTTCTAAAATGGTTTTAGATCTCAAAGACAGAATTAGACTGGTTCCTCGAAGATTTGCAAAAGGAAATTAAAAAATGGCAACAGGAGAAAAAAGAAATACAAGAAAGACTAACAGCACTAAAGAAGGAAATGAAAAGGGTTTCAGATGCCACTGAAACGTAAGTAAGGCTCAATGCAATGATTTTTATTGTTTGTTTTTTGGGGGAAGGGTTGTTGATATTTTAACATTTTTGATATTCCGTTTCAAATTAAATCAGGTGAAGTGAAAATTTTAGATACTGTTTCATCTAATTTTTAAAAACATCTGTTGGGGAAATATGTCACCTGAAACTTTTTCTAAACCTGCCATGTTTGCAGATAAAGTGAGACTGTGAATTAAAGAAAGGCATCCTTCTAGTCTGAGCACTCCCTCTACTGTGACCATGACCTTTGACACACATACACCCGGCATCTGTGAAATGAGCGGACTAGTCTAGATCTTAAGCTTCTTTTCAGCATTAAGATTCTGTGATGATTATTTTATTTATGATTACTTTTACCCTGAATCCTGAAAGCATTGAATTCCATCCTGTAGTGTGAGGGATTTGGAAATACATACCGGCCTTACAGTTGTCAGATGGGCCAAGTTGGTGCTAAAATTCTCCATGATTGATTCCTAACCCCTTTCTTCCTTAAACAGTGATATGTCCTAGGATTTACTTAGCTTAATTCTTACCTACTGTGTAACAAAACACCCAAAACTCTGTGGCTTAAATTAGCAGCCACTTTAGCTGATGGTGATCCCACAGTCTGGGCTGAGTGCAACTGGGCCATTATCCGCTGGTCTTGCCAGTGGTTCCTCTGGCTGCGTTTAGCTGGGGATGGGCTCAGCCGGGATGCTGGTGTCTTGTTCTCTCCTTCTCCCTGTGGCCTCCCTGTGACTTTGACCTACACGCTCTCTCCATCTGGTCTCCAGCATGGCAGCCAGACTCCCTGTGTGGCCCTGGGAGCTTCCAAGAGTGCATAGCAGGAGCTGCCAGGCCCCTGCAGGTCTGCCCCAGCCAGAGCTGTCAGGCATCCCTCCACCACCTTCTCCAGTTTCAGGCGGGGTGCCAGCCTCGTCCAGAGCAAAGAGCTGCACAGTGGGGGCCGAGTCACCGGGGGCCACACCACCACACTCATCTTTCAGGGCATTTATGCATTTTCCATTTGCCGTGCCATGTGATCACATGGCTTTCATTATGTCTCGCTAGCATCACATCTGGGCAGTTTCTAGGTAGCCCTTAAAAGAATGGTGAAACATAAAACACTGCCTCTGTCACGTCCAAGTAGCTTCAGGGAACACATTTGCAGAAAAGATAATGTCTTTAAAGCTCTTTTCCTCTGCATATTTGAGCAGGTCTAGTCTTAATCATTGTTATCCAAAAATTCAGAAGTATTTATGTTTAGCATATTTTTACATGCTCAATTTAGACATTCTGTCAAACTAAACAAAAATAAATGAATCCGTTGATGAGAAAATATTTTTTTCTGCTCACATAAAAATTAACCATTCCTGGTGGGGAGTAAACTTTTTACTGGTACACACACACACACACACACACACACACTTTATTAATATATATATTTCTTTGTCTCTTTTGGTCACTGTTTAAAGATAAGCCATAGGCTTCTCTGTGCTTTACACTTTCCAAGTAAATGCTTTATATTTAGCTTTTAAAGCAAAATCTTAAAACTTTTAGCTCTCCTAAAGAAGCTCAAAGGATATGAGCAATGATGTGATTTTTCTACACTTTAGGTCACACTTAGTATTAAAAATGGCTGGAGCCTAGGGAGCTCCTGCTTGGTGCAGTGGGACAGACCAGCGGCATCTATGGAAATGACGCAGGTTCCATGAAAAAACAGGACAAAATTGAGTGTTTAGAGGAAGGTGTCTACACAAGAAGGAATGGCCTGAAGCTGGTTCTTAGTGGAAACATGGGGTGTTCAGCAAGTAGAGATGACTAAGAAGGTGTGTAGGGGAGCATGAAGAGGTAGAACATACTCCCTCAGGGCATTGCCTAGGGGTCAGATTGGCACTTTGTTTTGAAGGGTTGTCAGTGCACACATGAGTGTGTGTGCGTGTGTGTTGGACTTTAAGTTTTATTTATGTATATCCTATCTAATAAAAGAGTAATATGCAAATTGACCATCTCTCCAACACACAAGATGGCTGGCAGGGGAGGGCAGTTGCAGGGGACCAGGCCTGCAGGGGAGGGCAGTTCGGGGCAATCGGGCTGGCAGGGGAGTAGTTAGGGGCAATCAGGCAGACAGGCAGGCAAGTGGTTGGGAGCCAGCAGTCCTGGATTGTGAGAGGGATGTCTGCCTGTCCTTAGGGGGTCCCAGATTGGAGAGGATGCAGGCTGAGCTGAGGGACACACACCCGCCCCCTGCATGAATTTTGTGCACCGGGCCTCTAGTATATATATATTTTATTGATTTCAGAGAGGAAGGGAGAGGGAGATAGAGATAGAAACATCAATGATGAGAGAGAATAATTGATCTGCTGCCTCTTGCACACCCTCTACTGGGGATCGAGCCCACAACCCAGGCATGTGCCCTTGACCAGAATCAAACCTGGGACCCTGTAGTCCACACGCTGATGCTCTTTCCACTGAGCCAAACCAGCTAGGGCTTAAGTTCTATTTTAAAGAGTAGAGGCTGGCCTTGGTCGAGTAGTTCAGTTGGTTGTAGCGGTGTCCCATACACCAAAAGGTTGCTAGTTTGATTCCCAGTCAATGCACATACTTAAGTTATGGGTTCAATTTCCAGTCAGGGCACTACAGAAAGCAACAGATATTTCTCTCTCACAACTCTCTCTCTCTTTCCCCCTCTCTCTTCCTCTTCCTCCTCTTGCCCTCCGTCCCTCTCTCCCTTCTCCCTCTCACCCACTCCCTTTCTCTCTCTCTCTCTCTTTCTGACTCAATAAAAACAGCTCAGCTGATGTGGCTCAGTGATTGAGCATTGACCTATGAACCAAGTGGTCAGTTTGATTCCTGATTAGGGCACGTGCCCAGTTTGCAGGCTCGATCCCCAGTGTGGGGCGTGTAGGAGGCAGCCAATCAATGATTCTCTCTCATCATTGATGTTTCTATCTCTATCTCCCTTTTCTTTCCTCTCTGAAATAAATAAAAATATATTTTTAAAATAAATAAGTGATAAAAATAATCAATAAAAACACATCCTAAAACATACACACACACACAAAAAAAAAAAACAGAGGCTGTTTGCATTTTGAATGAGAACCACTGGTCATACTGTACTCCTGTCTCATCTTAAACCTCCCAGGAGTGCTCCTTGAAGTGGACTGAGATAGGATGACATGCGACAGGCATATGACTTAGTGATCAAATAAAATGGCTGAAATCCGTGCTCTGCCCTCCAAGTGTAGAAGGAAAGCTTCCAAAGAGGAAAATGACCCAAATTCTTTGCCTATTTTGAAGATACTAGAAATGAAACAAAATGTAAAAATTTACAAAGAATTCAAAGAATTTTGCATGGCTGTGGGTAGAATTTACTCTGGATCAGGTTTGTAAAAAAATCTTGAAAAAACTAATTAAAATTTGGTGATTATGCTTTCATAGGTACACCCAGAAAAATGATGGACAGGAAAAGGAGCATGAATTCCTTCTGGATCAGTCTTCTGAAATCAGGCAAATTAAGTTTAAATTTATTTGTATGTCTTATACTTTTAATAGCAGAGGCACAAGCACACAGGACATCTAAACATATTGTTGCTTGTCTATGTTTTAAATGATTGTTTCTCTTTTTATTTTCTATTTTATTATTTAATATTTAAAACTTATCCTTTAAGTATTTTTATGTTGTGATGTTCCTACTTTTATTTCACATTGTCAGTTTAAAAATCTGAATTTATAGCTGGTTATTACGCCTCTTTTCCCTTGAGTTAGCTTGAAACTAAAAGTGTGTTTTAAACACTTTTCTTTTGTGTTACTGAAATACCAGTCTCAACTACATTATGGTAGTTTGTTGCTGTGATTATAGGTTCATTGAAGGATTTTCATTATGAACCTATAAAAAAGTTTTCTTTTAACCTTTATTAAATGGAAATAATGTTTGCACATATTGGTTACCAGTCTATTCAGTAGTAAGCAGTTGTATTCTGCTTTTCTCATATGTTGTTTCATATACACATTTCCATTCACATTATGGTCCATGCCTGCCTTGTTTTAGCTGTTACAGGTATATTGCTATGAACAACTTTATATAGATCGTTTTTTCCTTTGGGTTATTTCCTTGTAATTTGTGTCAAGATAGAATTTCTGACTCAAAGGATGACGGATATTCTATAAAGTGTATTAATATAACAGATTATACTCCCTCTTTGCTCATAAAAATGGTGAACCAGTTTCCCACCAGTTCCTCGCTTTCTTTTTTTTTTTAATTATTTTATTGATTTTTTTTTACAGAGAGGAAGGGAGAGAGAGAGAGAGAGACTTAGAAACATCAATGAGAGAGAAACATTGATCAGCTGCCTTCTGCACACCTCCCACTGGGTATGTGCCCACAACCAAGGTACATGCCCTTGACTGGAATCGAACCTGGGACCTTTCAGTCCGCAGGCCGACGCTCTATCCACTGAGCCAAACCAGTTAGGACCTCACTTTCAATTTCATATCTTCCTGTGATCATTTGTGAAGTGCAAAGAGCACGTGTGAGTCTGTATTACGTAGTAAAACATTAGGCAAGAAGTTACTCTGGAAGATGTTGTATGTCTTTTTGTGGCATGATCTCAAAGTTACCCTAGCGTTAGCCTTTGTAATCTCAGTGGTAAAATTTTTTTCAAAAAGTGTTTCTCCTTTACAATTTGCAGTAACACATTTACAAATGAGAAAACGAAAATAGAAGAGCAAATAAGGAAAGGGAAGGAGCAATATGAAGAGATTCTTCAAAGAGCTGTGGCTGCAGAGGTGAGCCCAGCCCTGGGGGGACTGGCAGACAGGGCGCAGGCCCTGGTCTGCTCTGTGCTGACTGCACCTGGGGCACCACAGCCTTGCCGGGAGCGCGCAGGCTCGAGGTGTCCTGTCTCCGGAACAACCACTCTCCTCGCCTGCGGCTTCTTCATTGTTTGCCCTCACGCTTCTGTTGTGTCACGTAGCTGTGCTCAGTGTACACCAGATTTTGTAACCTGCTTTCCTTATTGAACATTGTAAGTCAGTCATTTTTTATGCTCTCCGCTTTGAATGGCTTCATTATACTTAGTCAAGAGTCAGCCATAAAGCACGTTTGCCAGTACTAGAAAAGGAACTCGAAAATCATCCACTTAAGAATATACTCGCCCTCGCCCTCCCCCCAGAAGGATATGTGCCAATGTCAGTGTTTGAGAAAGTAGTGAGACAAAAAAATAAAAATGATGACCCCTGGCTGCACTTTATTTAGTTCGGAAACGTGGTTTGTCTAATTAAGAAGTTAATGTGGTTTATGGGTATATGTGTCTGTAATTATTCTGGGAAAATAAAAGAAGGCTTAGCTTGTGCAATCTGCACACGAGTCTTTCAGTTAAATATCGACTGTGTAGCTGCTTCTAAGGAAGGGAGGGAAGTAAAAGCCGAGCACCTGTCATCTGCGGGCCCGTGCTCACGCCCACGGCCCCAGCTGTCAGTTCTCACCACCACCTGGCAAGCCTTTTTGCCGGTGGGTCCTGGCAGGGTGCTGACACCTGGACCGAAGCAGGCAGTTCTGCACTTCCTGCAGTGACTCTCCAAAGCCGCTGGTTGGCTGGTGGGGAAGCCGGCGAGTCCACTGCCGGAAAAGCATGCGCCAGGGCTCCCGACGCCCGTGAAGCTGAACACAGCGTCTCTGCGGCCTCTGAGTCGGACAGGGTGCAGCCGTGGGTGCTCTGCCCTGGGTAGACAGGCGCAGGTCCCGCCCACTGGGGGATGCACACAGGTAGCCTTGCTCTGTGCTGCAGCAGTAAGCCACGTGGGAAGTGTCGTCTCTGAGAAAAGTGGCCTTTAAGGTATATCATTTTACTGTCATTTTGTTATTCTAGTTTCACATCCAAAAGTTTTAATTCATAGTCACCTGACATTATAACATAAACAAGTTCTGGTGTCTCTGTCATTGTGTGTCATTTAGGAAGAAACTGCAAAGTGGTTTAGAGTGTTTAAGTTTTAACAAATTCAACTAGTTTCAGATTTTCAGTTTTAAAATACTTAAACGTTCTCTCATCTCATGATAGGTATCTGTGCTTGAAAACCGGAGAGAGGCAGAAGTATATAAGTTACAGATTGTGGAATCACAAGCAGAAGGGTATCTGAAGACCCTGAAGCAATTGCGCAGGTACTGTAGGCATTACGGGTATATTTCCCAGCATGTCATTTAGCAAATGAAAGTTACAGGTGAGGAAAAAATCTTACATTAGGCAGGACCATTTTATTTATTTCTTTATTTATTTTAATACTAGAGGCCCAGTGCACGAATTCATGCACCAGTGGGGTCCCTCGGCCTGGCCTGTGGGATCGTCCCAAAACCGGCTCTCCAACATTCCCCAAGGGGTCCTGGATTATGAGAGGTCACAGGTCAGGCCGAGGTACCCCACCAGTGCACAATCGGGGCAGGGAGGGACTGCTGGAGTGCTCCAGGGCACGTCCAGCCCGTCTCGCTCAGTCCTGATCGGCCGGACCCCAGCAGCATGCTAACCTACTGGTTGGAGCGTCTACCCCCTGGTGGTCAGTGCACGTCATAGCAAGTGGTTGAGCGGCCTTAGCATATCATTAGCATATTATGCTTTGATTGGTTGAACAGACTCCCGGACACATAACATATTATTAGGCTTTTATTATATAGGATATTTTGTATCAATTTCAGAGAAGAAGGGAGAGGGGGAGAGAGATAGAAACATCAGTGATGAGAGAGAATCACTGATTGGCTGCCTCCTGCACACCTCCCACTGGGTATTGAGCCCGAAACCCAGGCATATGCCCTGCCCGGGAGGGAATGTAACCTTGACCTCCTGGTTCATGGGTCAATGCTCAACCACCAAGCCACACCAGCCGGGCAAAAATATAGTTGTTGTTTTTTTTGTGTATGTGTGTGAGCATGTGAAATATATCTTTCATGTTTAAATGTTTGTTTTAATTTGTACTTTAGTGCTTTCAATTTTTAAAAATATTTTAAAGTGGACATTAGCAGTTTCATGTTTTTCTCCTTTTTCAGTGATTCTGCAGCATATCCTGAACTAGAGTCTGACATACATTCATGGGAATCATTTCTTTCTGATGTTAGAAAAGAAATTGAGAAAGCAGAGGTAAGTTGTAAAACATTTTATAATTCTGTCAAAATCTATATGATGGTTATAATTCTAAGCGGCTAGTCAGATGGAAACCGTTCCTTTTTTGAGCTGTTAAAAGCAATAGATAATTTTTGTTGAAATTTTAAGAAGAGTTTTTCATAAAAGTAATGATATTTCTTAACTGTCCAGCTCTAACCTGGATGCTGAGGTGAGAGCAGCGTGTTGATGAGGCTGTAGCGTGTCTGTCAGTGAGGTCTTATTCTGCACTTTGTCCTTCAGGAAACAGTCGCTTTAATACCCTCGTTTCATTTATGTTTCTTGGAAGATTGTTGATCGTTTTTAATGTATAGTAAGAAAAATAGCACTCATTGAGATTGTGGTTTTCCCTTGGAATTTGTTAGAAAACTGGACCCTTTTCTTCTACCTACAGTCTCAGTTTGAAGAACAAATTAAGGCCATTAAAACTGGCTCTCGGCTGAGTGAGCTCCCTGAAGTGCAGATCTCCGCGCTCCCGTTTCCTGCGTGGAGCACGGTAAGTCTGTTACCTTCTCTTTGGAGGGAAGAAAACAAAGCATCATGAGCCAGTTTCTTGCCTTGTTGGCCAAAGTCGTTGGCTGCTGCTGCTGTCTGGGAGTGGGGATGGGATGGATGAATAGTTGCCTTCATGTTTTCATTGTTGGTGCGACTAGTTAACCTTTAGGTGTTACAGTAAACATTCTATATAAACAGGAGACTTTCTTTCTACCTCCGGGTCTAAGGAGAGACCTGAGGTGGCGAACACACTGCTGCTCATCTCCCCTTTCTTTTCTGGATGCTGAGGTGTGTGTGTGAGTATCCCCGCCTTTGAACAAATATTCCAGGCGTAGCAGGTGCCTGTGATTCAGGTATAATTTATTCCTCGATGCTTAGAGGCAGGAGACCACATCTGAAATTTAAGATTTGTTTTCTTGTGAAATACAGATAAACACTGCTATCTGTGAGACACACGTGGGCTTTGTGGGTCTGGCATACCTGTTGTGCTGCTGGTTTGAGGAATATGCTGAGTCTTCTGAATAACAGTGATTGCCAAGCCTGGTCTTGTTTTAGAATATGCGGCTCCGTCACGAAGAGCATGCCCTTTCCTTTGTGGACTTTAACATGTGGCTGACCCTAGTGCCGCTTTATTCTGGCGCATGTGATTCTTATCTGGACACAGCAGATGCTCAGTGAATACTGAACTGAAGTGAGTTCAGCCCTAGGGAGATCAGACCATAAGAATTTCAAGGAGGACTCCATTCAGGAGTTTACTAGAGCCCTGGCGAGGTAGCTCAGTTCATTAGAGCGTCATCCTGATGCTGAAGTTTCGGGTTCATCCCGGTCAGGGCACATACAGGAATCAACCAATGAATAAGTGGAACAAAATGATGTCACTCTCTTCCTCTCCCTCTCCCTCCTTTTTCCTCCTCCTCTCCCTCTCTCCCTCTCATTTCACATTCCTTCCTCTCAAATAAAAAAGAAAAACAAGCCCTAACCAGTTTGTCTCATTGGATAGAGTGTCAGCCCGTGGTCTGAAGAGTCCCGGATTCAATTCTGATCAAGGGCACGTACCTTGGTTGTAGGCTCATTTCCTGACACTGGTTGGGACACGTGTGGGAGGCAACCAATCAATGTGTCTCTTTCACATCGATGTTTCCCTCTCTCTGTCTCTCCCCTTCCCTCCCACTCTCTCTAAAAATCAATGGAAAAATATCCTTGGGTGAGGATTAACAAAAAAACAAAAAGAATTGATCAGAGATAGATTTCAGAATGTTTTGCCACAACATTGAAATCTTCCGGTTCTGAAATGGTCTTTAAAGCCCCCATTTCCCCAGCATTTGATTCACACCTTCCTGCTACTGCCAGACTTTGCCTGGCTCTTCCCCACCCGGGGCCCATCCTCACTCTGCGTCCTGCCTTCCCCTGAGCCCAGGCAGGCTGCCCTCTTCCCCGACCCGGGACCTTCTGTCAGGTGTGTTCCTCTCCTTAACTTAGGTGACAGCTCCCTGCAGGTGGGAGCCTGGTCTTGAATGGCTTTTTCTCATCAGAACAGCATGTTAAGCATTCAAACTTAGTGCATTCATCTCAAAAAAAAATTTAGCCTCCTTGAACTGAGTAAAATATTCTGTTGAGATTCAAAGTTTTGTCTCCACAGAATAAGTTTTTTCTCTCCACTAAATGAGTAAGAAATAGAGTTTTATTTAGAATTAAAGATACTTACCATTTACAGTTTTTCCAAGTTCTTATAGCAGATATGAAAGGGGAAAGAGTTAGATCTCAGCAGAATATTTTACTATTAATGTTTAATTCTAGCTAATATAACCTTATAAATACTCAAAATAATTTTACATCCAGAACCTGGGAGTTCTCATTGTGCCAGGAGTTTGCACATAAGGGTCCCTAAAAACCACCTCCTCTCTGCCACCCCACCCTTCATCCATTGGGCATGTAGTGGTGATCAGGATTAGCTGTGGATGCCCTAACTGGTTTGGCTCAGTGGATAGAGCGTTGGCCTGCGGACTGAAGGGTCCCAGGTTCGATTGAGGTCAAGGCATGTACCTTGGTTGCGGGTACATCCCCCGTAGGGGGTGTGCAGGAGGCAGCTGATCAATGTTTCTCTCTCATCGATGTTTCTAACTCTCTATCCCTCTCCCTTCCTCTCTGTAAAAAATCAATAAAATATATTAAAAAAAAAAAAAAGATTAGCTGTGGTCTGTGCCCTCAGATGCCTGTGGGCTTGGGAAGCGAGACCCAGAGTTACACCCAGAGTGCAGAGTGGGCCAGGTTTCTCCCCAGCGCACGGAGTGCTGCAGCAGTAGAGGAGGGCACCGACCTGAATGAGGCCCAGGCGCAGGAAGCTTCCTCTCGGAGGTCTCAGTGGAGTGAGTGCGAGATCCAGGATAGTTAGCCGGGAGGGCGTGGTGGGTGTGTGAGGGCATTTGGAGGCTGGGAAACATCTAGACGGAATCTTTAACCAGGGGCACTGAGGGCAGCAGGCACCAGTCACTGAGGCAGGAGAGGATGAACTGGCCTGGGGAGGGGGAGTGAGGCAGAGGTCGGCCTCGGGTACATGAGAGCTTCAACACTGAGGCCTGGCCAGGCTGCAGGGAGCTGGGACAGGAACGAGAGAGTGACCTGCAGCATCGGTGTCCCGGGCCTCAGTGGTGGAGATGTTGGCGGCCGTGGGAGGGCGGTTTGTGGGGGTGTTGGAGCAGCCGTTCGGTTCCTCGCCAAGAGCAGCCGGGAAGGGAGTGGGGTCCCGTGAGAGGGAGGAGGCAGGTCGATGGGTGCGATGTTCTCCCTTAGGCGGCGTTTCAGATTTCACAGAGAACGGAGTTATGAAGGGAGTTACTGAGAAGTCAGAGTCCAGCCCAGCTAGCAGGCATGTTACAATAAGTAATTAAACACAAAACAAACATTTAATTGTATTGTATTCCGATTTTTTTCTTAGTCATGTTTAATTATCAGTCTTTGCCATGGATGTTTCTCTAAGTCCCACTGTGGTGTGTCCCTCACAGATTCGCCCAGAGTCACTTCCTGAGTCTCCAGGTCACGATGAGCAGGGTCCCTCCACGTCTGCAAGTCACGGGACCGGAAACCCCACAGCGGGTCCCAGGGATTCAAGCCTGGTCTCTGCCGGTGATCGCCCAGTGGGGGCTCCCTCGCCATCGCTGCCAGCATCGCCCTCCGCTCAGCAGGAGTGTGAGGGCACCAGCCAGGCAGCTCAGCCAAAACGCAGCCTCCCGGCTGATCAGAAACTGCCTGTTCCTCCGGGACGCGCCCGTGCCAGCCAGTCTCCGAAAAGGCCCTTCAACAGCATCCTGGAGCACCTGTCGGCGGTGCTCCCCTGCTACAGCAGGTGCGCTGGCAGACGCTGCTGAGTCTGCGAAACGCTTTTCTTGAACAGGTTTCCTGAGCAGGTACAATTGTGGCCAGTGAGGGGCTGAAGTGGGAAGGATTGCACAGTTGTTTTATTCAGAAAGGCAGGTGCTACATTTTCTTTTTTAGGCAGAGAGGTGCGCATTTTCAAATACATTTTTAATGTGCGTATCTAGTGAGAACTCTGAGCACTCGTCAGAACCGGGCCGTTTCCTAAGATGTGATGAGGTCAGTGACATGTGCAGCACTAGTTAGGCAGGTGCCTAGTTAGGGAGTTACCTGGTTATGCAGCACTAGTTAGGGAGTTGCTAGTTAGGGAGTTACCTGGTTATGCAGCCCCTGGTGACCTGCAGGTCACTGGCTTCATGTGGTTCTGGAAAACAAGGCCCGTAAAAGGAGGCAGCAGCTCGCCGTGTGGGCAGCACCTCTGACTCTCAGGTGTGAAGGTGAAGAGAATGGTATGATTCGCTGGTGAATCGGGTGTGGGCAGGTTACAAAGGGAATCCGGGGGGCGGGGGGCTGCGCTGTCTCACCTGAGCTCCCAATCCACACGTCAGTAGGGCTGCTCTGGACCTTGGCCTCGCCCTCCAGGTTGGCACGAGGAGAAGAGGTGCCCCTTGTCTCAGATGAGGTACAGGAGTGTTTCCAGAATACAGCCAGGAGGAGAGGAGTCCCCACCCAGGGCGGCCCTCTGCACCCCCATGTTATTTCTGCCTTTGACGTGCTATTAGTTGGAGTCCCTGATTTTATGCTTTTGAAACAATTGCCCTCGAACTGTGATAGGCCAGAATGGATATTTTTCATCTACCGGGACAGCCCTGCCCTTGCAAAGTGAGTGTTTGGTCTGCACGTGGGTGCCTAGCCCGTGGGCCGCAGGTGAGAAGCGTGGTAGGTTCTCTCAAGAGCCATAACCCTGCCAGTTGTAAGAACATTCAAGTTGAAACTACTGACAGTACCTTACAAATAAGATTGTTTGCAACCCTGGCTAAATTTGGCAAAGTTAAATAACCAACTAGAAAAGCATCAATTTTCTGCAAGTTAAAACATTTGGGCTATTCGTGGTGTAATATCAAGTTGCTGTCAATTATTACCATTCATCCACACCCACTGGTGCTTGTGAAACAGGCTGTGCAAACTGTGTTGTGGGTTAGATTGTTGAGGGAGGACGTCAGCCAAGCTGGTTTGCTCTGAGGTAGAGGTTTTGTGGTGTCGGGTCAGGCCCTGGTGTCTGGGCGTTAGTGATGCTGCATCAGCGGCTGCCGGAGCCCGGTGTCTGCGGAGGGATGGCTCTCCCCGCTGATCCCGCAGGTAACTGCTGTGTGACACTCTATTGCAGTGAGTATTTAGACACCATGCTGGAGTCTCATTCTACTCGGAAGGAGTGATCCTGCTATTTTATGTACAGCTGCTAGTGTCTGCCTGTTCCTTTTGTTTGTGTGTATTTGTTTCTCTTGGCTGCTGGGTTGATATTGGCACATAATACTTTTTTGCACATAATACTTCTCAGCAGTAGAAAGCTTTGATGTTCTGCTCTCATTTCTCCCCACTTCCTCCTTCAGCACCGAGCTTGCTGGTTTTATTAGAAAAGTGCGAAACAAAAGCAAGACCTCGCTGTCAGGACTGAGCATTGATGAAATTGTCCAGAGGGTGATGGCACACATTCTGGAGGAACAGCAAAGCCAAAAGGTCAGTGTCCGTCCAGATACAGCAAAAGGCCCCTGTGTCCTCCTGGGTGTAGATGTGGGACTTGTAAGAACAAAACAGGCTCCAACCAGAGGTGGTGAGCAGGTTCCTGACGACAAGGGGGGCAAGCTTATGAGTACGAACTTTCTTCCCCACCCGCATTATCTCTGCAGCCACGTCCAGGACAGGGCAGGCCGCTGTCCGAGCCCAGCTCCGCTGCCTCGGGGATGGGGGCCACCCAGGGCCCGCCCTCCGTGATTGCTGGACCATCGCCCAAAGCCCGGGGCCAGAGGACAGAAGACGCCCCTGTGAGTGTTGCATGTGCGACGCTGTTTTCTTGTTTTTTAGGAGAGCATTGTTAAGCCATGGGACCAGTGGGTTAGCCCCATTTTTCTTATTTCTAGACCTAATTCCTTGTCCTGTAGACTGTCCGTGAATAGCAGGTGCTGTCTCTCTGCTTTTTTGATGGCACGGATGTGCCGAGTGAGCTGTCTGTTTTCGTTTTTATTTACACAATTAATCCACATTCATAGAAACTTCAGAAAATAGCAGAGAAAAATTAAATCTCTCTTAACCAGAAGGAGCCACTGTTACCATTTCACATCTTCACAGACTCTTTTCTAGGCATCTCTGTACACACATTCCCTGTTGTTGTTGCTGTTTTAAATGAGTTGATGGTCATATGAGGCTTACTGTTCTATGCCTGCTTCTACTCAGAGGCCTGTTGTGACCAGCTTTTACGTCAGGGATTATGGACTTCATTAAGATTTACTCGGCCACACAGTAGTCCCTAGTGTAGAGGTGTCGTAATTTACGTTACTGTCGCCAGCTGTTAGAAAATTAGATGCAGGATTAATTTGTAATATTCAGCTGGTTCCAAACTTACCAGGAAATCCATTAACCATATAAAACATTTTTTTCTCTGAGAAAATTAGAATTTTAAAAGTATACTTTTCTTTTATACATTTATGTTTTTTCCTAAGAAATGCTATTTAAAAATAAGTTGTTTTACCCACACCTGAAATTTATATGTTCATGTTTACCAATGTCACCCCAATAAATTTAGTTTTTAAAAAATGAGAATAAATAAATAAATATTTTAAAATATATTTTTATTGATTTCATAGAGAAGGGAGAGGGAGAGAGAGATGGAAACATCAATGATGAGAGAGAATCATTGATCGACTGCCTCCTGTAGACCCCACACTGGGGATTTAGCCCACAACCCGGGCATGTGCCCCAACCAGTAATCGAACTGTGACCTCCTGGTTCACAGGTCAAAGCTTAACCACTGAGCCACGCTGGCGGGGTAGTAAATAATTTTTTTTAAATAAAAACAAGTCATTTTATCTGTCTGCTTAGCTATCAATGGGAATAATTTGCCAATTTAGTGGCAGAAATATTTGAAGACACTTGTTGGAAGTTTATGTAGTAAAAGGAATTGAGTGATTTATTATTTGGCCACATTTGTTTCCACAGACACTGGGTGCACATTCCTGTGAAATATGCCATGAGGTGTTCAAATCCAAAAATGTGCGTGCGCTGAGCTGTGGGCACAAGTTTCACAAGGGGGTAAGCGTTCCCTGGCCACCCTCAGAGCGTGCATCCAGACTATGAAGTATTTTGGAAACAAACGGGTTTTTTCTCTGGGTGTCCATACGTCCCGTTCCTGTGTAGCATCACTGTCCGCTTCCAGGCTGGTGCTGTGGGAGGGGACAGGCCCCTGGGCCCCGGCTGTGCGCCCTGAGCTGCCTGTCCACCCCTCACGCCGAGCCGGGCACACGGCTCCATCGGCCAGGCAGGCCCAGCTCCCCGACAGGCGGTTTCTTGCACGTGGAACCAGACTCACGCTTGTCAGTTTAGTGCAGAGCGTGAGGCAGGAGCAACACTTCAGAGGAGAAACACTCAACCTGACTGGGCCCTGTGCCCAGTCCTGGCCGATTCTGACTTGTACCCTCCTGGGATTTGGGGGTAACCGTTTTGGTGTTTGGGGTGCCGTGAGCGTTTGTCCTGCACCCCTGATGCTGGGTTTTAGAAGAGTTCAGGGCTCTGCCACGTGGGCTTATGAACCTGAGGAGGGGGTAAAGGCAGGGTTCTCACTGGGGGAGACGGGAGACTTGCAGTCTGGTGCCCGTCCTGCTCCATGGCGGGGGGGCGGGGGCGGTGCGGGCAGGTCGTCACACCTGGATCTCAGACCTGTCACACACCCAGCTGCTGGGTGTGCAGGGCCAGGCAGATGGGGGGCTGAGGCGGGGGTGAGGGATTGAATGAGTGAGTCCAAGGGACATGAACATGCCAGCTCTAGAGGTCAGGGCCGCTGAAGTGCCAAGACTGGAGCTGGGGTGGGGAGGCCCAGAGTTCACGGGGCAGGTTCTGCGGTGGCGTTTCCTCGGGCTTGGGCCACGCTCCCAACCTGAGCAGCTACAGCGGCCCTGAGCTCTGGGCTCCAGGCCCCTCCCTGGCGGTGAAGTTCGCACTGCCTGCTGAGGGCAGCACAGAGCGCTCTGCCCCTGCCCCTGCACTGCTGACTTCCTTTTCTCCCTCCAGTGCTTCAAGCAGTGTCTGAAAGGCCAGAGCACCTGCCCGGCCTGCCTCGACCGTGACCTCCCGTCAGGAGAGTAGCCGCACCTTCCGGAAGAGGCCGCCTGCTGCCCCAGGTAGTCAGGCCCACCCAAGGGAATTTAGCGGTTGGTTGAATTGAAAGAATAACAATATACAACTTTGATATAAAAGGCAGACATTTGAAAATTCTTTGCACTGTGTCACAGTGCTAATAAGTGGAAATCTTTAATGTAGTTGATAGTAATTCCCTGCTCTGATTAACCACTTGGGTAACAGCCCCCTGGGGCTGATGGAATTGGCGTGACCACATTCTCACGCGCTGGGCTGCCGCTGGGACCACGGCTCTGCATGACACCCCAAAGCCGCCCTCGAGTGCGTGGCCTGTCGAATCCTTACAGGAGTCAGTGTTCCTGAAAACACACCAACATGCTTCCTCAAAGATTCTGCATTTAAAAATGGGCTTAAGCAAACCACACTTTAATCATATGTAGTTAATGTTAAAATTTTGGCTGAATTAGACCAAAAGATTAGAATCTCCTCATGTGAAACATCGTGTGATTTTGATTGTTAATTATTTCATTTCCCACAAGCAGATTTCTAAAGTGTTTATTTGTCATCTTGTAAAGATATAATCTGAGTTTTGAAAATTGATTATAAACCACTTTCTTGTATCAACCTCTTTACCCCTGAAATCGAGGCTCCGCGCTCATCATCCCACCCCCCAGGTGGCGCTGGCTTTGTGGCTCCTCACCTTCTCCTGTGGCATCTTCCTGCTTCCTGGTTAGACACAGGTGCCAGGCCTGTCGCTCACAGCAGGCACTGTGGGGAGCAGGCAGCACCATCCCCTTCCCGGAACCACCACCGAACACAGACTCTTGTGTAACTGGCAACCCTAAGGTGTCCCTGCTACCTCGCTCCGTGTTTGTGTGAAGTAATGCATGCATCCTGTACTAACTACAGTAGGAACAGTTAAAATTAGTTCTCCTTAGTGACGTGTAGACAGTGGTAAACGTAGAAACACGAATTCTGGACGCATTCCATTTCTCAAACAGGAAGGAGCAATATATTTTTTCTGTGTGTTTTTTGTGCCCCTGGAAGCTCACAATCCCAAGTTCATGAGCCGGTCTGTCGCCCTCCTCTGCCTTGCTCCGTGAGTTTTGAGGTCTCAGTGACGGTCTATAGATGCTTATTCTCTATTTTGAAGCAGATTCTCCTACCACCTTGTCTGCATGTTCCTAATGCCCGAGACCTGTCGGTAGGAAGGTACATAGGGACCAGTTTGTAGCAGCAGGTACCGTGGAAAGAAAGCAGCTGGGAAATGAGAGACGGGCCTTGTACATCTGACTTGTGAACATGCCTTACACATCTTGTGAGTGTCAAATAAAAGCATTTTAAAATGCAGTCCACTGGTGTGTGTGTAGTTCTTTCTCACCAATGCTAGAGAAGCATTCTACTTGAAAACTCAAGACACCTGTGTTATGCTGACATTTTAGAATATGTTTTTATTTATTTTAGAGAGAGAGGAAGGGAGAGGGATAGAGAGAAACATCAATGTGCCGACTGCTGCACTCCCCACCTTGGGGATTGAGCCCACATCCGTGCATGTGCCCTGGTCAGGAATCAAACTGGGGACCTCTTGGTTCCTGGGTCAACACTCCACTACAGAGCCACTGGCCAGGCTGTTATGCTCACATTTTTAAAAGTGACCTCATCAGGAGAGAGCCATGTTTGTCTGAGGGGCCTAACCAAGGTCTTAGGGCATTTTAGAGTCTGGATCCAAACGTTGCTTTGTGCCCAAATAAAGGTTTACGAGATTGGCTGTTTAAGTTTATGAATGGGAAGTTCACACAGACAGGAAGTGCACGCCTCAGCACCAGTTTCTTCTTGAGGCCTGTGGATTCGTCGACTGCAAAGGCTGATCGGCAGGGCTTCCCTCTGCAAGGACCCATGTACGCTGACACTAAGAGATGATTGAAGAAAATCAGTTATGTTTTTCATCTGATAGCCTTTTCTTCAAAATAATGTATAACTTAAAGCAATAACTATTCCTAAGAGTTTAGATTCTTTTCCCTGCCGGGCAGCTTACACTATGCTACAAGTAGTGGGTAACCCAAAGTAAAACTAAAAGCGTGCCGAGCAATGCAAAACGTTCCTGCATTTTTAAGGTAGTTCATAGCATGTATAGTGGAGGCAGGTGGGTCGTGATAACGCAGCACAAAACTGGAGCAATGAACCTATTTTAGGTAGTTTTTTAGATCCTCCTGGAGAAGTGGGTTAAAGGAAGCAGGTGGGAAAAACAGTAACAAGGATGGAAATTCTTTCATCCACAGAAGATGCTTGCTGGGAGGCTGATGAGAAGCACACAGAAGCGGACGAGCTGGGCTGGTCAGAACCAGGACCTAAAGCATCTCCAATGTCACCCGCACAAGAGAAATGGGAAGTGCGTTTAGGTGGTTTAAACTGTATTAAACTTTAATAAAACTTTATTGAAAGAACTAGAGGCCCAGTGCACGAAATTCGTGCACGGGTAGGGTTCCTAGGGGCTGCGGGCTGGGCCTCCCTTCCCTTGGCTGCCTGCCCTGTCACTAAAGCCGCCATGTTCTGTGCCACCCCCTGGTGGTCAGCACACGTGTAACTCCCTGTCAGTTAAACTCCCACCCATAGGGACAATTTGCATATTAGCCTTTTATTATATCGGGTAACTACAAACCGAATTGATCACCAGTCGCATGTAATGCCCCCTGACTCAGTCTATTAAGAGGGATGTCCATCATGTTGCCATCTGCCTCCAGTGCTTTGCCCAGAATGGTGGGCAGAGCCTGGAAACCAGTGAAAACGTACACAGAGTACCTCCACGTGCCCTGAGTGAGCCGTTCTGATACCGCGGTGACCAGGGGCAAGGACCCCGGGGGGCTTGTCTTCCCGTCCAATAGGCAATCAGCAAATGTAACTTCAGGTGGCGAGAAGGGCCTTTGAAGAAGCAGCCAGGGAGGGAGGGAGATGGTGGCACTCTCACAGTTTGCCTAGTTCCTGGCAGGGACGCCCTTGGTAAGGGAGCCAGCAATTGTTGGGGGGCGGGCCGAGTAGCACAGAGAGAGTCGGGCGCCCTGATGATCCGGCTGGAGATCAGAAGCGGAGCTCAGGGTAGCCCACGCTGGAGGAAAGAGCAAGAAGAAACCAAGTCACCTCAGTCATTCCGGAAAGTAACAGTTCGTTCCTGAAACCTCCACGAGTTGACTTGCCTCTGTGGCTTTCGCGGGTGGCCTTGCTGGTCTGGTCTGGTCCGTGTGGGTTTGGACCAGAGCTGTGAGGTTGGCTCCGGGGTGGTGCTGGAGGGCCTCGCAGAGGAGGCGCGGGCGCCCAGCTCCCCAGGTGGGATGAGGACTGTTCTTAGTTACTCCATCATCGCCTCCCAGTTGTACCGTCTCTTCCAATTTCCCCCTTAAAAGTGGCAGAAAAGGAAGAAAACAAAACCTAAATGCTATTCAGCAGAAACTAAATAGCACTAGTGAACTACAAAGTCCTGAGGAGACAACCATCAATAATCGGAAAAGACATTTCTAACTTCATTAAGAATAATAGCTTGGGATATACAAATGGGAAAAAATGAGCTTTGACCTCACTGTATACGTAAACATGGACTCCAAATGGGTCGTGTCCCAGCTAGGAGAGCAAAGTTACGAAGTCCTCTGGGACGCAGTCCTGGGTCAGCGTGGGCAGAGATCCTTAGGATGCAAAAAGCACCACTCACCAGGATAAACATCAGTAAACGGAATGTCATTACCATTCAGAGCTCTAAGTCCAGTTACTGTGCGTGAAAAGTCACGCCACGAAGTGGGAGAAGTCTGGCAGAGGATTCCAGAAGCAGCCCCGGAAACCTCTGTAAGAAAGGTAATGCATGTGGAAATGAGCAAACATTCTGAATAGGCACGTCACAAAGAGTCACAGGTTCCTTGGCATTTTGATGGCCAGCTCTACGCAGTGCCCATCAGGAGGAAAACGGAAGTGAAAACCACAACGAGACGCCACCCGCTGCCCACCAGGGAGGCGGGGATAAGAAAAGGCGGCCAGTGCCAAGTGTCGGCCTGTGGAGCAGCTGAGCTGTCAGACGCTGCTGGCGGCAGTGGGGTGGGCGTGACCGAGGCAAGAGCGTTTACTAAAGCTGGCACTGCGGTACCTGTGACATGGCCACGCGCACACCTGCCAGGCGCGCAGGCGGCAGTGCAGGTACTTTCACCCTGGCCTCTTCCAGAGCAGCCTCCAGCTAGAACAGCCTCCAGCTGGAACAGCCTCCAGCTGGAACAACCTCCAGCTAGAACAGCCTCCAGCTACAAACAGCCTCCAGCTAGAAACAGCCTCCAGCTGGAACAGCCTCCAGCTGGAACAACCTCCAGCTAGAACAGCCTCCAGCTAGAGCAGCCTCCAGCTAGAGCAGCCTCCAGCTACAAACAGCCTCCGGCTGGAACAGCCTCCAGCTAGAACAGCCTCCAGCTACAAACAGCCTCCAGCTGGAACAGCCTCCAGCTAGAACAGCCTCCAGCTACAAACAGCCTCCAGCTGGAACAGCCTCCAGCTACAAACAGCCTCCAGCTAGAACAGCCTCCAGCTAGAACAGCCTCCAGCTACAAACAGCCTCCAGCTAGAGCAGCCTCCAGCTAGAACAGCCTCCAGCTAGAGCAGCCTCCAGCTGGAACAGCCTCCAGCTGGAACAGCCTCCAGCTACAAACAGCCTCCAGCTAGAACAGCCTCCAGCTACAAACAGCCTCCAGCTAGAACAGCCTCCAGCTAGAACAGCCTCCAGCTAGAACAGCCTCCAGCTACAAACAGCCTCCAGCTAGAACAGCCTCCAGCTAGAAACAGCCTCCAGCTGGAGCAGCCTCCAGCTAGAGCAGCCTCCAGCTAGAACAGCCTCCAGCTAGAAACAGCCTCCAGCTAGAGCAGCCTCCAGCTAGAAACAGCCTCCAGCTAGAGCAGCCTCCAGCTAGAAACAGCCTCCAGCTAGAAAAAGCCTCCAGCTAGAACAGCCCAGGTGCCGCCCGCAGTGGTGCCGCCATCCTTGCAGTGGAATACTCAGTGCACAGCAGACACGAGAGCGCCAAGGCAGCCGGAGAACGCGCAAGCCCACATCTGTGAACCCCAAGACCAGGACGCTGTGGGCGGTCAGGGTCGTTGCCTCGTTGCCTCAGGTGGTGCTGCGGAGGAGGGGGGCTGGAGGTGGCCCGGGCGCTGGCTGGCTGCCACGAGTTGGAAAGGTCGTGGAGCTGTACATGTAAAGCCCGTGCACTTTTTTGTACGTATTGTTTTCAATAAAAACTAAACAAAAACAGCTCGGCCGGTGTGGCTCAGTGGTTGAGCGTCAACCTAGGAACCAGGAGGTCACAGTTCGATTCCCAATCAGGGCACATGCCCAGGTTGTGGGCTAGATCCCCAGTGTGGGGCATGCAGGAGGCAGCTGATCAATGATTCTCTCATCGGTGTTTCTCTCTCTCCAATCAATAAAAATATTTTTTTAAAAAAACCTAAACAAAAACAGACAAGAAATAAAAGAGACACTGGGGTCCAGGAGGCACAGTGGTGACCACGGTCCCTGGGCGAGGCTGGACCTGTACACCAGCCCTGCCTGTGAAACTAGACGCCCCCCAGGACAGGCCTCCCTGCCCTGCAGCCCCAGCAGAGCCCTCAGCCAGGCGGTGGCTCAGGAAGCTGCTCAGGGGAGTGAAGGATCAGGGCCTGATGCCAAACCGGCTACTGCTGCCAAACCCCGAGCGAACGCCAAGGCCGCGCCTGGTGAGGGTGGCGCGAGCTGTCCTGGGGTTGCCTGGCGCTGGCGGGTGGGACCATCCACTCTGCCAGGACCCATCTGGCCCTGGGCCTGGGTGCTAGAGTGGGCTCCCCTGGCCCCAGGAGAAGAGCCAGTCACTCCACTTTCGGGAGTTGTGTTAGCTGGCTGTTCGGCCCAACTGTTGAAAATTGGATTCTGTGCACTATCAGTGAAAGAAATTCTATAAAACGCAAAAGCCGTGCCTCCTGCTACCGTGCATTGCCGTCTGCTTCGGGTCACTGAGGTGCCACGTGTGCCCCTGTGTGTGGAAATGCTGTGGGGGTCTGTGCCCTCCTCCCACCTCGGATGGAGGGTGGGAGTCGACACCACGGAAAGGGACCGATGCTACCGACCCCCACGCTCAGGGTCTGTGGGGCAGGAGTGTCTGTAGGAGAAGCGCTCCTGAGGAGGGGGTCACCTGTGGTCTGAGGGCACTGAAGGTGCCTGGGAGGCCTCTCGTTTCACCCCTGACCCTTCTGAGGTGACCGCTGCCCAGTGAGCGCCTTCCACTGCTGTCTGGCCGGGGTCCTGCTCGCGCTGCCAGCGGTGCTTCTGCCCCTCCGGCCTGGCCCCCTCCTGC